CAACCCCACAGCGAGGGTGGGGAACTAATATTGGGACCATCTTAGTTGTGGCCCTCAGCCATCTTGCAATCCAGACATGCAAAGTCAACTGGACAGGTTGGCGCTGCCTCAGAAAAACTCTTACGAAAAGTCATCTGCGTAGTCCTCACTCTCCTGCTGCTTAGGCGTGTGCAAGTCACGGGTGATGCGGGGCATCATGCTGGATGCTACTTGGATGGTCAAGGGGACTTAATCCATATAGTTACCCTAGTTATGCCCAGTACTAACCTACTTACCAAGTCCCCCTGACCCTCCAAGTACAGTGTTCCAGAACTATCCCGTTGCTACCCACGTCCTTTTATCATGAGTGCAGTGTAGAAACCATGCAGCAGAGATCAGCTTTTCCAACGCCCAGCCTTGTCACCGGCCAAAAAATCCCCTCGGCCCAGCTCATCCAGTTCCTCCTCGCCAAAATGACCTTAGGGAAGCTCGGGTAGTCGCAGCCGTCGGAACAGGATTGCAAGGAATGAGCTCTTGATGTCATTACAAGTACTACCAGTGGTATCACTGCCATTTGCACAGCAAGGGTCGGTAAATCAGCGGGCAAATTCAAATGTGGTCAGATGCTTAACACTTTCTACAAGTGACGCCAACGTGCCACCTCTTTCTGAACTTCAAGCACGGCCACGGCATGCGTCAACTTGCCAAATCCTAGTACAAATTCGATGGCTTACTACAGACATTTAACTTGGCGCAAGTCCGTGACAGCAACATGCGCTGACGAGATGCGGTTGACATCGCGCACGCCGGCCTGTCTCCTTGGAAAAAATGGCATGCTGTGCACGCACGATGACCTTCAACCCACTTCATGGCTGAGATATGCTGAGATTATGACAAGGCGTTGCGAACACGAAATAGTGCTCTGCGGCGAGCTCGCTCGACGCTATCTGCCTGGCAGGCAATGTCTAAGCAACCACTGGGAACTGATGGTCTGAGTTTTCAAGTCCACTCTATTTCTTGCAGGCGGGCCATGCTGGCTTCTTGGCTAGGGCAATGTTGTCGTTTGACTGTCAGATTACAGTCTGACAGGCCAGGACATGAAGAACATCAGTACGGTCAAAAGAAAAAGCAGTTGAAAGCTACCTGCTGCATCAGCAGCGGTCTGTTGTTGGCGCGCTGCAGGATCATGTCGATGTCCTGCAAAGCTGCAGTTGCCAGCCCCAACTTGTACATCGTATGGCAAGTACTTGCAAATCACAATCTTAGTGCAACGTCCTTTCGCTTCTGGCTCTGGACTCTCTGCAGCCCGCGTCGCTTGTCGTCAACCATGCGCTCGATCTTTCTGGCGAGAGGCTCGACTGGTCCGACGGCCTCACCACCAACTGCGCATCAAACCCAGCAACAAAAGGCCAGCCACGGTCTCCCGCAGCCGCGGTCGCCCACAGCCCAGCTGCGCTCCAAATGCTTCTGCAATCAAAGGGCTTGCTTGACCCTTTCCTTCATCTCCTCATCTACAGCCTGCGCCTGCAGCAATGGCAAGGATGCTGTTGAGGCGAAAGGAGAATATGGCACACTATTCCACCTGGTATAACCTAGTCATTGAGCGCTTGCATGGAAGCAAGAACTGTTGGCAAAGGAAAAGGCCTGCTCCAGCTCTTCCCTTTCTCGCTGCTCTTTCTCCCGTCTTTCTTGTAGCCTCCTCCTTGTAGCTTGCTGGCTGCTCAGAACCTGCACTTCCACTTCTTAGCTGCAGAGCTCACGCCGCGAGCATGCTGCAGTTCTCTACGAAAACTGCCTTCTGCGTGCTCCGCAGCTTGAGATCAGCGTCCGAAAAGCGCACTGCCCGGCGAACACGGCCTTCGGCTGCTCCTGATGGATGTAAGCGACATGCTACGGAGCTGACGCTACTTGGAATTCTTCGTGCCGAACTGCCTTGAGACTGTGGCCGGCCGCCTGCTCTCTGGTATCGCCAGTCACTGGTGGGATCCTCATACAATGGCAGGACTGCATCCCTCTCGAGACATCTTCAAGCCGGTCCTTTGGCATTGGAGGCTGGCGGGTTTGGCTGCGTGAGGGAGTGAAGAAAACAAACGGTTCCGGCTGCGTCACGTAGCGGTTCAGGTACTTTCGCCTCTCCAGCCTCATGAGCAGCAGGCGCAGTCAGTGCGTGCACACATCATTGAACCACCCTCGGGACAGTAGTCCCTCAGAATGAGGGCTCCGGTATTCAGTATGCAGTATTCATGCACTAACCAAATCAAAGTGATGGTGCCGTGTTGCTCAAGTTTGCGGCGATGATGCAAAATGTCCGTAAAACAAGTGTTATCTTGATTTCGGCGGCTTCAAATTTAGAAAACCAGGTTAGGAAACAGTGGAAACAAAGTTGTTGAGTTCCTACATCCACCTCCACTTCTCTAGCTCCACTTGTGAAAATGTGGAACTCACGCAGGCAGCATCTCTGGGCTGCCATCCAACACAACCCCAACTAAAGCTTCAAACGGATTCGTATTGATTGGTGTTTCTGACAGTCATACAATCTGCGCATTAGAGCCTTCTCAGCAATCGCCGTTGACGGTAGGAGCGCATCATGCGGACGAGAGAGCAGAAGATCATTGGTCAGGCTGAGCTTGCAGCTCTTGCTGCATGCGCTCGTGGCGAGCTGCAAAGTCTGGCACCTAGCCATGCAAGCTTACCAACAACAAGGACACAACAGTGAGACATGATGTGCAATCAAAGACTGACTCTCAACAAGCCGGATCTGAAAGCTGGAGCTTCGGACCTCTGTTGTCATGGCTCGCGGCGAAATTCTGCGAGGAGCCGAAGTACGGGGCGGGGCTGGTCCTGTAGTTACCAGGGGTTCATGCCGCCACTCATGCAACAAACATACGTGCGTCAAACACCCACTAGACAGTGGGCTACAAGAGAGAGCAGTAGCAACATTGGGGAGCGCTGCCTGCCACAGCAGGCGCGCTGTAGCCGTACTCAGGGCCTGAGTGTCGGCACGAACGTCTGACAGTGTTGGGCTGATGAGAAGAAGCCGGGAGACAAACCCAGCCCCAGCTTTCTTCCATCGCTGTCTCTGGAGGCCTGACTGACCGCGCCAGCACTTGAATGGTCAGACACATTCAGACACAATGGCATGTGAACAGCTGCCTGACCGGCTTTACAATCTATGGCCCCGTCCTGCTGAGCCTCGGAGGCAAGCCAGCGGCGGGCGCTATAGGCTTCACCATGCCAGGCCCTTGGCTCAGAGATTCGTTTAACTAGCAAATGCTGGGATGCAAATGCTGATGCACAGTCACATGAGAGCGGCTTAGCCTGCCTCTGCCTCTGCCCCCAGAGGTCCACTGCATCCCGATACAAAATTGCGGTAAGGCCCTAGTGGAAATGAAAGGGACCCGCTAGGAATGAATTGCAAGCCATTACAAGTAGCTCTGAGTAAGGTGTTTTCAAGGACGTAAGATGCGTAGTCATGTGTGGTCTACCTTCAAGATCCTTCAAGACTCTAGTTTGCCGCTTCTCTCGCAAGCCCCTCCATCCCTCCATGCTGTTCGTTGTCTCTCCAGTTAGTACGAAGATGCTCAAAGGAGCCAGATGAATTTCCCGGCAAGAAGCTCAGTGGCTGACTGAACTCGCCCAGGCGACCGATTTCCATCCTTCAACTGCGAACAACGCGTTAGCCCACAGCTGCGATCATCCTACTTGTACCATGCAAGGGTGGCCCGACTAAGTAACCTGTAGGTGCAACAAGCTTGCAGTGGCCTGTCCGCGTTCCTGCTCCAGTCGACCTCAGTCAACCAAAGCCACGGCAAGCCGAGCTTCAGTTGCAATGAACCACCGGTGGCCCACCAGCAGATCGTTTACATGAACATGCTTTCAAACATCTCTTCGCACAGGTAAGGCCAAGGTCCGTGTTTACAATTGCAAGACATCGTCGAGTAAGACTGTGTCCGACATACTGCCCTTTTTGGCAACTTCAAATTCACTTTCACTGCCCACTACGAGGGAAAAACCTCCATATCATCCCCTGCCAGCAACTGAATCAGCAACAAGAGTGTAATGTTCTAGGTCAGACAGCACGGATCCCAATGTGGCCGAAACATAACAGAAATTGCCCAACGCTGCAATTCCCAAATGAAAGCCCCAGTTGTGCGTCTACGCGAGAACTCTGAGAACTCAGAAATGCTGAGCGAATTTGCTACATTTTGCTGGGCCCGCTACGAGCAGCCTCCAGCCGTGGCCTTGTGCAAACGACGTGCCCGGCGCAGCGACCCAGAGCGTAAAAAGGATGTCTTAAGCGCCACACGGAAGGGATGCCGAGCGCAGCAGCTCCAGGCTGCGCCTGCAGAAGCAATCTGCACGCAACGACGTCCAGCAGTTCTGCAGCAGATGCAGGTCACCTCCTCACACCCTGCATCTTCCGTTTTGCATTATCTGGGGAATCGAAATACTTGCTCAAACCTGTTCCTCCCTTCACCACAGGGGTCCCAGCAACACAGCATGCAAGACTGGGCGGATCTGAGCTTCCAACGAACGGCGCCGCCTTTGTCTTGCATCCCTCTCTTCGAGTAAAAGCTGGTCCTCGTCGCGGTCTGCAAGCACCGTACATCATGGGCCCGCAGTGTGTGCCGGGCATTTTCGGCCAGGTTCAGGCACACCACTCTACAAACTGGATTGGTTCCTTCCTTCAAGAAGGGTTAGTCTCATGCTACTCTTGCTTTCTGCAGCCAGGGTGTCGTACAAGGGCGTCGAGACACGCCAAGGCACAGGCCTTGCCTTGGGACATGATCGTCCGCTGCTGTTTGTCAAAGCACTGAAAATTCCACTCTTTTCCTTTGCTAGTCCAATTGGTTTTCAGGAATGTGGTGGATCTCTGAGCTCAGGTGCGAGGGACATGGTTTGCGGCTCAGGTAGATGATGAGGAAGATACGCAGAGTGCGTGGAGGAGCAAGCAGTCAGAGCTACTTCTGCTACGAGGGACGGGCTCATGGTGCACAAGAATAAGGGAGCAGCAGGCATGTCCTGCGAAGCTTCATACCTCTTCAAATCCCTGCATTGAAAGGCTCCACATATAGTCTACGGCACACCGTGTCCACTACAAGTTCAAGCGCTGCTCAATTCATCGCACTTTGATGGGGCTTGGACGCGAAAAGGCTGATCCTCTCGGTCCGCTTGTCGCATTGCCGCGCCTAAGGAGGCGCCCATGTTTGTCCAGCGCTAGCCCGAACCAACAGTCTAAACCACAAGGGAGCCTTCGGTAGAGCGACTTCTCCTGACCTGGCCAGAGCTCATCCAAATGCATTGATTAGCGGATCAACCACATGCACACGGACTTCAAAGACGGACCCGCAATCGTAAAGTAAGCGCGTGCCTGCATGCGAGGGGTTAAGACGCCAACCGGCACTGGTTTTGCGCGAAAAGGCAGCACCTGGAGCGTATGGACTGGCACTGCAGCTGTTGCGATCCTATAAACAGCTTTCGTGACTGTCCCCCCTTTCATTGCACACTCATGGGAACTTGGCCTGCAAACCTCCTAGCACCATGCGAGCAGCATCTTGAGCTCAGGGAAGAAGACCCTTCCAACCTCCGGAGTTTCTTGTAGAAGCCCTCGTCGGAGCATTGCTTCGGGCTGCTCACGGATACGTTCGCCCTGGCCTGAGCAGGGTCTTGAGGGTGCGTCGTGGGGGATGGTGCAACTGAAATCGAGCAAAAACTGGGGCTGCTGCGCTTGTCCCAGTACGAGTCTCTCATCAAGAACCTTGGGCCTGTCACAGCGCAGCAGCGTCTTTGAGCCGAGCACGTGCAAGGGGAATGCCGACTCTGCGCAAGAGAAAAAAGCTGGACGGGACCGATGTGCCTTCGGCTGGTGTTGGATGGTTTAAACCTAGCGCACCACAACCCGCACGTCAAAAGGTGGTCTTTTGTTCCTAGCTGATCTGAAAAGCGTATCCAAGTACCTGACGGTAGAGATCCCGCCGCGCGCTGCGAAGGTTGGGAGGACTAGTGTCTGGCAGCCTCACAGGAACGCTTGCAAACCGAAAACCTGTCCTGGGTAGCAAAATGAAGCGAAGGAGTCGAGGCACCGGTCAGGCAGGCGAGCCGGTCCTCCCAACTTCTGCAAGGACCCGCTCCACTCGAGCGGACAGGCACAAAGCCCCTCTTGCGACTTGTACTATCTTGTCTTGACTTTAGAGGAGAGCGTGAAGCAGCCAGCTGAGTTTTATTCATGCTCTGTCCTTGCTCTGCGAATGTTAGCCGCTCTTCTAGGGGAAGGTCAAAGCCTGCAGCAAACCACTCTGACTCTCACTGTGACTTTCCGTTGCTGTGCCTTACCTGTAGCAAGCGGCTGGGCAACCGGACCATATTCGGCCTCCGCAGCACGAATCCGCTCCTGTCAGGCAACAACATGACAGCGTTTTCGATTCAGAATTCAGTGGTCACGTGCATGGGAACCAATGCAACAGATCAAAGTGTACTTTCCGGCCAGCACATAGATCTTCCCACTCAGGTCCTGCAGCCTGGGTGAGGGCATTGCAATCGGGTGCTGGCGAGGCAACGGACCTCAGAGTTTGCAAGGTATTCAACCAGAGGTAGCTGTGACTGCTGTCCAACAAGCTATCAGAGTCAAAGAGCTCCAGGCCAGTGATGACAATGCGAGCTCCCAAGCGAGCCCCGCGCAAGATGCACTCAATCTTTCTTTTGCCATGTCTTGCAAATCATCAACTCATGTCATGAGTCCGGCGAAATTAATTAAACATCTTTGCATCCTGCTATTTCTTGGACGTTGAGATAGCTTCACACGCTCGGACAACCATAGCCTTTGTTGAGTTCGGCGCGTTTCCTGTAAAGAGTCGTCCCGAAGCGTCCTCACAGATCTCGCCCGGCTTTCTTCGCTCATAGCCTTGGACATCGCGAAAACTCATCCACGCGCCGTAGTACGAGATGAACGGCCCCACCTTGCCGTCAGGTGGATGTAGCCACTTTGAACCAATCAATGCTTCAGGCCCATGGCAGACTGCCGCAGCAATGGGAGCGGAATCCATGATTGCTGTCACGGCAGGATCTTTCATCATATAATACGGACACTGCCCACCTGCTACAAAAAAGCCATCAAATCGAAGTGACTTGTCCACAAGGTTTGCTGGCATCGTCGGCAGCAGGCAGCAGCAGTCTTTCAATGCGTAGTTGGCATTGCCCCACACAGTCTCGGATCTAACTTGTCTAATCCCTGGGTCCTTCTCTGCTTCAACACTGTGGCTTATCAGGTGAACGCTGAACTTCATGCTCAAGAGGTGGTCAATTATGGTGTAGGTCTCAATCGGATCTGCAACCTCATCCACGAAGAAGGCCACCCGAGGAGCAGAAGGATCACCGCTGATGCAGCTCCTCAGATCCCAAGCGCAAGCCCGCGTGGCGAATTACACCAAAAGCCCTGCTAGCTATCTATTCATAAATATCAGTTGAGCGTACAAACCTATCGCTCAACACACGGTGAAGATGATGCTTTGGTGGTAATTGTCCCTCTCACAATGTAATAGACTCAAAACTGAAGGAAGATGGCCGCAGAAAATTTCGGTCGTTGCTCGGACACCATCATTCCGATCCAAGCCTTCAAGCCATCAAAAAGAATCACTCATTTCAACTTGGCTGACTTGTTGAAAAAACCTAGTGGTCTAAAAGACGTGGCGGTCTATCAGAGTTTATACAGTTGCTCTTCAGGCCAAATCTCCCAGAGAGGCCGTCCAGCTTCGCTGCATCGAAACAGAAGACTGTCTCGGAGCTTCCCAGTCGCTGCACTCTGCCAGAACTTGAGAAGCTGGTGTCCATCCTGCTGGAGGCAAGGCCTAATTTACCAAAGAATTCCTCCGCAGTGTCCTTGCCCCAGTAGCTAGCTGATATCAATTCAACTCCCCCCGCACTTGTGAAGCTGCAGACTTTGCCACCATCAGCTGGAGGCTGCAAGCCATTGATAGAGAGGAGGTGATCTTGCTTGGGGAAAACAGCCGCCTGAAATCCCGAAAAGATCGATTTGCCGTCTCCTAGCGCCAGGAGGACGTCGAGTCCATGGCCGATTGCTGCAAAACGGGCGCCAAGGTCAAAGTGCTTCTTGACCACTTGGGCAGCATCATTGTCATCTGCCATTAATGTGGCGTTCAGAGTGTGGGGCATCAGACCACCTGTGAAAAAGATGGTGCTAAGTTTGAAGTCGCTTCCTATCGGGATAGCGCCGGTATGCTTTGCTTTGGGATCCCACTGATCCTTGGGAACCAGCGCCGGAGCTCCCTCCTCTGTAGCTGAAGGGACATAATTGACCTGATGCCACACCCGAAACCCCTCCCAACTTGGATCCAGCCCTTTCTGTTCCATCACATGCTCAAAGTCATTGAGGGCAGTGAAGTGCCATCCACCATTAAAGGGCGGCGGGTTTCCTAAGAAAATGTACTGTTCCTGGCACGCCTCAAGACGTTCCAGCAGCATCCCGATCTGCATGCTGTCCCCTTTGAAGTCCACCAGGATTCCGTGGACTGGCTTTGACCAGTCAAGCTGAGAGTGCCGATACCCAGTGTAGAAGTGGTTCTCCACACCCACTCCAAGCTGTGTAGTAGTCTCCTTGCGTGCACAGAAAGCGTGGAAGAGCTCGGCAGCATTCGGAGCCTTGCTAGCACCGATACCATGGATTTCCATGACTTTCTGCGCCTCTTTCTCCAGCAAGGCTCCTGCATCCTCCATCTTGCCGCGATCAGACATGTTCTAAAAACGTTTTAGGATAGCTTAGCTCCTGCCCTGTTCTTTTTTACAAGCATCCATTTGTGCAAGGTGCAAAAGGAAGAACAAATTGAGGGGATGTCAAGACTTCTCCTTATATGGGTCAGCTGTTGAGGCTGCATGATGGCCAGAACATTCAGACAGCAACTCTCCATGAAGAGCAAAAAACTTGCCAAAGGAGCGCTGTGCAGCCGGCCTCTGAGCCCTGGCTGGCCCCGGTCCAATGGCACACCACCGCCCAGCAGTGGGGCCCTTAACGGGGGCCCTCTTGGCGGGCTGGTGCCTTGCATGGCCTTGATGCAATCAACTGCTCGCTCACCATGCTTCTTGTCTCTACCGCGAGATTAGACAGATTCCGACACATTCCCTGCAAGTTGAACTTACAACCCATCCGCGGAGTCATCTCTCAAAGACATCCTTTCTAGAGTACAGCATTCGAGCTGCTGGCGTTAGAGAGTCATCATGATGCTGGGTTTCGAGCATCGTTTCGGGCATCGCGCCGAGGTGATGCTCGAGGTGACGCGCGAGGAGACGCTCGAGATGAAGCTCCTGAGGTTGCGAATCCGTGCATCTTCGTTTGAGTCCCAAACGCGAAGGTCTGACATGCGCCACTGCGATCTCCTCCTGGCTCCTGTCCGTCTCGGTTCACACGGACCTCTGGGCATGTGCATCTGAGACCTGTTCAGACACTACATACCAACGCTGGACCTCGAGGACAGGCTCCTGGAACAAGGCTCGAAGACGATCTGCCTGCTTGCAGACTCGCCACTTCAATCTGCAAGAGCTCACAAAGCCCTGCCTCGCGGTCCAGTCGCTGCTGAAGCTCTTGCGCACTGATGCCCTGCCCAGGTACAAACTCAGGCAACCAAAATGCTTCAAGCTTGTAGCCGGCACCTCTACAACGAACTCCAAGTCGAGCGAGCCTCTCCTTCACAACGAGTGGACTGAAATACGATTTGCAGAAGCAGCAATGCCTGACGCGTTGCAGACGAAGCTCAGAAGATGGCAGCTGCAAAACCTGAAGGACCATCACAACAAAATGATGCAATACGCAGCTGCAGACATTCACATGAAAGCCCGTGCTAGGTGTGATTTCTGCACTGAGCAATCCCCGGAACGGCGTGAAATGCGGTATCGCAAAATGTTACAACGCAACCGACCTTCCTTACCGGTGACTGACCACGTGTGTGCCTTCCCTGGCTGAGGCAAAGCAAATGTAACTTCAGAATCAAATATCAGCGGAAGGTCAAAGTACATCTGTGACAGTGGCAGTCGGCAGACATGCTGCAGCCTATCATCCGTCTCTTGCGCGGAACCGCTACAGGATCCGGCACAGCTCTGTGCGGTTGACCAACCTTGTTTACCTTGCCACTGGGCTTCAGGCAGTAGCTGCGATGGCCTGGAAAGGTTTTTAAACATCAGTGAAGCCTCAGAAGTTACAACGGCATCCTTCTAGCTTTGTAATGAGGAGTTGGGTGTCTTGTAGCAGCTCTGCTCTGCCAACTGTAGACCACACCTTCTCTGCTTCAGCCTACATTGTCATCTCGAGAGGCGCGTCTCTGATGGAGCACATCAAATTGAATTGGCTTAGTCAGAATCAAACATGCCTCGCGCCAGCATTGCAACTGCTCCGTTGCATCCTCCCTCAGGAAGAAGGCGTCGAAGTCTGTCTCGAGGCGGACGCCAAGCAAAGACGGAGCCTTGCACATAGCAGGACGCTTTTCGTTTGCGCGAATGCCGATGGGGAAGAATCCTCAACCTAGCGGTCACGAGTTCAAACCCTCTGCTGATCTCCGCCGCATGTGAATCAGCCACCTCTCTCATCTCAGCGAGCACAAGATGGTTTCCCGTGTCAGAGACACGTCCATGCTTGCCCTGCACGTGGCCTCCAGGCATCCAGAGCTCATGGCAGTTACGCATGGCACCGCTGCCATGGCAAGCACAAGCTGTGCGTGTCTGCTGGTGTAGCTGCTTTGTCAGAAGGCGTCAGAAGAAGCTGAGGTCTCGAAAGTTGATGGTTCCTTGTCTTCTCTTGGTTTGTACTCTGCGGGTCAACGCTGCGAACAGGAACACGCAAACGAGATCCATCATGGACCTCTCCATGACAAGGCCATCTGCAGGCGATGTCTACTAAGACATACTAAGACCATCAACAAGCTTCAACCTGGACTGAGCGTCTGTCACTCCTTTTCCAAACTGGTGAGACAGGAGCATTATCCGACTGGCAGCCCTAGACACATAAACAGCCAAGGCCAAAGCCACACTGCGTCCACCCTGCGAAACATGCACAAATCTTCTAAAATCTTGGCATATAGGGCCATGATTACCTCCTGCATCGGGGCATCGAATGCTTCATCGAGTGGAGCAGCCTACATTTGCAGTGACCAAGCATGGAAAACTGCACGCACGAAACTTCTGTGCTGCAAGGTAAAGAGCTTGATCAGTTCCCTTTGCAGGGATACGGGTCACTCCGTGTCCTTTACACGGTAGGGAACGCTGGTGCTTGCACGCGCCTTTCGCTTCCTCAGACAAGGCTGGGGCATGACTTGATGCAAACACTGTCTAAGAGCTTGCTTGCATTCGCTGTGCCAGGAGCAACTGCGGCATCCATACCAGGCATCAACAGGTTCTGTGAAAATGATGCCATCTAAGGTTGACACTATGGGCCCCTAGTACGGGCCCTTAATCTTGGGGCTCTTATATGAACTTTAGAATTGGCAGTGGAACTCCAAATCTGTTCAAGAAGTCCGCACATTGATCCAAGGGACGCAGCTCTATCTCGCGGCCCAAGACTGGTAGACTCCGTGTGAGGCCTCGCCCCTGCCACTGTCCTCCGCGCTCTCCCCAAGCTGGGGCGCTGCCTCTTCCTGCAGTTCATGAATCTGCTGTAGCATCCGTAGCTTTGACGCCGGCATGGTCTACGCATGTGTAGGAGGAAAGCAAAGCATTCAACATGCAAACCGGGCAACACTGTGAAAGTGATGGGAAGCTGCTTGCGAGCATTGGCCAAGACGGTGCGGAACTCCTTCAGACAAGCTCTTGTACTGACAGGACTCACTATGCTGCTCTGCCATACACATCCATATCACTATCATACACTTCCCCGAACCCCCCAACTCTGTAATTAGAAGGTTTCATACCGTGTCCTCTCGGGTGCTGACACTGCGGCCATTCACGGCCACTATCTCATCCCCGAAGTGCCATCCCACGTCAGCCGCCTGGCGCAACTTTTGAAATTGTGCGACGGCTCAGGTCAGCTCATTGTGCGGCAAGCGCTGGTGCCTCGGGAACGTCGAAGTTGCTGACTACCAGTCCTTCCATCCGCAGGCGAACGCCAAGCTTGTCCTCGTTGAAGAGCTCCTTCACGAGGATCTCGACCTTGTGCCATTGACGCACACACTCGCACACCATACAAATCAGATCATTCTGCCCCTTTGAGAGCTCAGTTGGCTTGAACACTTGGGCAGCGGCAGTGAGGCGCTCATCCTCCTGAGCCGGGCTCTGAGCCGGGCTTGCTGGACTCGAGGGCGAAGGCTCCCGATGCACCACTTCGATTCCAGACTTACTCGCTCTGCGGATGGGCGCCTGCGCAAATGACAAGCAGTCCAAGCCACGTCAACCATTTGTCTCACTATCCAGCTTCGCTGCCTCCAGTCGAGCAACATCAATTCGAATGTCATCCTTGGGAGAGGAAGTGAATTTCTCCAGCAGGTCCTGCTTGCATGCATTTGTGCCGTCACTTGTTTTCCAAACATTTCAACACCCACTCCTCTGCTGCGGGCCAGGCCTCGCCTTTTGGGGAAGCATCTTTGGCTGCCACCGTCGCCCGCCGGTTTGATGACGTGGAAGAGGAAGATGACCGCTTCACCATGGATTTGGGCACCTCCAAATAGCCACCGCCTTGGGAAAGTTGATGATGCGTTGTTTGGTAAGGACATATGTCTGCAGCAGCTTCAGTCACCCCAATCCCTTCCCAAAAAAATCTTAAGTCCTCCCGAATATAAAGGAAAGACTTCAGGGGCCTACAATCCTGAAGAGCAGTCTTAAAAGGGCGAAACTACTTTGAAAAAGGGGCCATCTAGTACTGAATTGTAATGAATGCGGGGTGGTGGATTCTTCGTTTAAGGGGCTGTATGATAAGGAATCCGAGGTGTTCACTGCTGTGTTCACTTATTTTCTAGAATTCATATCCCAGACTCTAGCGGGAATCTTCTGGGAATGAGGATCCCCCTCAATTTTATTGCTTTGCTTCGGTTCACTGCTTAATAACCAATGAATTGTTCAATTGATTGATTCATCAAACAATTACATAATCTCAGTTGATGAAGTATTCATTATTAGTCGGTGTAATTGACTAACTGATGTCATTAATTAATCATTGGTTTTCCGCGGGGTTGAAAGAGGATGTCAAAGGCAGCCCGATCTAATCAATTGAATACATCATCCCCCCTAATGCTGTTTTTTTTCTGGCCCGGATTCTTAATATCAGGGGAGGGGAAGTCATTTAGTACTAGGGGAGGTGCTTGAAGCGATTACTAAGGCTAAGGGCAGGCAAAGCGTACCTATACCGGCTGCCAGCAGTAGGACGCGGCACTGCTTCAAATAAAACCGAAGCGAGAAATAGGAGCCGCGAAGCGAGCCAAACGTAAAACGAACAGTTAAATTCATAAAAACTGACCCCTATCATACGGAGGGCTTCATGTGTCTGGCTGAATTACAGTATCCGCCTGCAACTGCTTCGGCAACCAACGTTCCACGCGGTGCCATTGAAGGCCTCGCGATGCCAGGCGGCACTGGTTAGCTGGTTAGCTCACAGCTTGAACAGACGCTCGCACCAAAAAAATGCCTGCGGCACTTTAGCGGCTCGCTGGCTTCACGCTTCTCTCGAACCTGAGAGCTTCACCACACCGCGCGTAGCAAGTTCCAGCACATTTGCACCAGCGCATTCAGCCTGGCCTTCTTTACAGCATTTGCTTTGAACTTTTCTGCAGCTGCTGCACCAGTCTGCGAAACGCATAACTGCACTGGCAACATCCAAACAAAAAGCAACAAATGCAAGCTCAGCAGGACCTCTGGCTCCTTCTCTGAACGGAGCTGGCCACTTAGCCTTTCGGTGCGCCAGCCAATGCATTTGCAACTCCGCAGCTGGGGAGATTCATGACAAGACAAGGCACGTTATTATTGAAGGAACCAGAACAAGATAGAAAAAAGATAGAAAAGGTAGTCCTCATGCTGCACTGTACTATTCTCAGGCAGTGATCGTGGTGACAAGGTTGTCTTGCTGCTACCAAGAGGCCACTCGAAAAGCCGGGCGGGCGCCGTGGGCACCAACTGGGAGTGCTTGCGCAGGTGCACGTGCAACCCCCGGCAGGCTCCAAATCACGTAGTATCTATCGATCAGAGTGCGCTGGAAAGGCAAACGGCAACATCTGCACTGCTTTGACAGAAGAAGTCTATCTGAAAAGCTAATCTTCTTGCTGGCAGGAATGCCTCCTTGCTGTCTTTGCTTTCCTCTGGACCTCGCTTTCGAGCTCCGAAGAAGAAATCCAGAATGCCTGGCCCTGCGTCCTCACAAGCACCAAGTATTCAGTGGACGGGACGGGCATTGCTTGCAATGCGTTTTGGACCTCCACTTCAATGAACCATCGCTCTGCTAGGCAAGCTCCACTGCTTGTTTCAGTCCTGCTTGCGCTCCTCCTCCTCCTTCTTCTTCTTGGCTAGTTGCAGCTCCTGCTTTGTCCCAATGAGAACATTTTATGCCAACATGGAAGAACTGCTAGCTGGCAGGAGGCTGCTACTCGCGGCCTTGTACTTGTTGGAGAGCTCCTGGAAAGTGTCCAACTCTACCTCGGAAAAGGCCTGCAACTCCCAGTCCAACTCGCTGGACGGGTCCTGTGTGTCAGCGTCCCAGGCAGATGAAAGACTGCTAGGCAGCATATGGAAATGCTACGTTTGGGATTCCACTTAGCGTCCTAGCAGTGCACAAACCAAGTTCCCATCTCTTGTAGGCAGAAATCAGAGGTCGAACCACTTAAGCCAAAGCTTGCTCGTCCATAAAAACTGCAAAGCCCAAGGTACAAGCTTCCGCTCATCTGGGCTTCGGCTTCCAACTTGTGGAGCGTTCCAACTGCTGGAATGCTACAGGGATGGTGGGGTGCTATTAGAATGTCACGCAGCGGGGTCTGCCTCTTTCTGGGAACACTTGTTTGTAGTGTTCGAAGGTTCTGGCAGCAGGGTTGAGGCGGGACATACCCGGGGATGGGCAGCGTGCGCTAGCTGGATCCAGAGGTTGGTCTCTCTTGCTATTCTGATCAAGTCATAGTGTCATAGAGGAAGGCTTCGCTGTACGCTGTTGCTGTCCTTTGCCGTGTCCACTGCGGTGTCCAGGAAGCTCTCTATGCCAACGGGGCATCGAGTGGGTCTCCGCTGCAGCAGCTCGGCGGCCTACAACCAGGAGGAAGGGCGCCCCCAAACCAGCCAATCACTTTTTAAATTTTGCATACGCGACAGATTCATCTCACAGCCTACAACTGTGGGCCTCGTGCATCAGCGGCAAACGGTCCTCCCAAAACCGTCCAGCCTGTGCAATGATTGCAACGGCAACAGTGGAAGCAAAAGCCCTGCTTCTCCACAGTGGCCAACAGTGTTTCCTGTTTCAATTCCAATCTATCAATTCCAATCGGCCTCCCAAATACCTGCCGAGAAGCCTCGCTCCTGCCAGGTGCCTTGGCATTGCAAGAAAATTGCTCTTCTGTTTTCCCTGTGAAGAGCAAAATCTGAGCGCCTTGTTCTAGCACAGGCAGCGGGTCATCCTCGCGTTTGTGCGCTTGAGCAGTTCTCTTCTGAAACTGAGATTACTACCCAGCCTCCGATCTGGCTACAACACAGACCGTGGGAAAGCCATCAGCCTGCAGGAGGTTGCTGTAAGAGGAAGCAAAAGCGCGCATCATAAGACGGCACAATGTTCCAGCAGGCCGTCTGCCATTTTCAGGGATCCCCTTTCAGCTGCTTGTCCGCAAACCAAGAATTGGCAAACAGCCGCTCCTGAAAAAGAACAGCCAGCTCGTAATGGGATACGCCATTTCTCCAGTCCTTGTCGAGTGTTCTCAAGTTCTTTGCACACACGAAGATTCAATGTCATTGTGCGATACTCCATGCGGCTCATTTGGTGCCAAGTTGAATCGTGTGGGGCGAAATCACGCACTTCAAGCAGGAAGGACTGCCTGGACTCTTACGGATCTTCTACTTAATCTATCGCGGGGACAAAGCACCGCCTGTCCCTTGTTAGCGAAAGTTGCGTTTCACGAAGCATTTGGTACACATGCAAAGTTAGCACCCGCTGACGCTCGGAGGCCTATGCACCCACGTCAGGAAAAGTTGTGAAACAGCAACTATAGCTCCTGCGGCACCACTTTGAGGATGGCATTGGCTTCAGCAACCACCTCAGCAAGGCACACGATTCTACTGTTAGCAGCTTGGCCAGCTCTTCTCTGAGCAAACTGCTTCAGATGCTGCCTTCGCAGACTCCAGCAGGAGATTCGCCTCCATAAAACTGAACTTTGCCAGAACAGAACGGCAAACTTTTTTGCATGTCGTATGCTGCGGATATGCAGCATTGCACAAGTGCTTCTGCAAACACGAGTGAATGATGGAGTTTGTGGGCACATCGATTGCTTCAGGCTTTGGGTGCCGGCCTCTTTCGTGCCATAATCTCTCTTCACGATCATGACAGCATCATCCACCCCGCGTCTCCATCGAGGGTCAACCTGCTGCGGGCCGCGCGCGGTTAGGATTTGGATGCTCGTACAAAAAGAACACTGCCACCTGGCTGTTGGCTTGCAGCTCCTTCATGGCCTTGGGCGGTCATTCATCATCAACAACCCGTCGTTGAGAAGAATTCCCTTCCAAGTTTGCAGCTGTCTCGAAGTCCTCTTCTTCTGCTGTCCTGACATTCAGACGGCGGATAACATGTTCAACGCCAGTCATCAACGACAGAAATCAAACGACTCAACCGCAACAACTGCGATATGCGCATTGAAGCTGGAGCTGCTGCGACCCAGGTGTTACGGTTTACAGCCAGTGCATCCCTCTCACTTCATTCAGAATCAAGCCCTGTCTAGCTCGCTACAGAACGTATCTGCGCTTGATTGTAGTGTGGTACGTATTTAAGCAATTGCCTCGAGAAACTAAAGTGCTTCAAACAAGCTTGTTGCTTTCTATAGCTGAGGTCCTACTCTGCCCTTCGAACATGCCAGGTGCACTCTGCAGAGCTGTTTTCTGGGATCACCACACGGAAGATGTGAGCCCGCCCTTGGACGAGAGGTCTATGGTTAAGCAAGAAAGCTAGCTTGCCCGTCAATTTTCTTTGATTCTGCTCAGACTTGGCAGGCTTGCGCCCTGCCGACAAACTACTCTGGCACAGGGTTCGGCTACCGTACATCTCGGATCATCGTCGTGGGTGTCTGGCCGATCGCAAGGCGGTCGCCACTCTCAAGCATCTGCGCATCCTCCACCTCAGGAGCAGCTCCAGTGCAGCGCAAGCGGGTTACCTGACGACTGGGTGTGGGTCAACTTGGCAGCCATTGACACGAACCAGGCCATCTGGTAAAGGGAGCACCTGAGGAATCTTCCCTACGGAGCATCTTGTCCACGGAGTGCCACATAGCCATACATGTGCAATTGGCAATTCTTCCGCAGCGATCCTTTCTAAGGACAACATCGCAAAGGCTACCCAAGGTTCAAGGGTTTGCCCGTTTGATCCGCTTGGGCTTTTGTTAGATGCGGGAAGTAGAATCTTCTACTTTCAGGTGAGGGCTCCAGATGGAATCTAGCGGCATCTGTGCTTGAACTGATGTATCATCGTGGACAAGCAGCTTTGCCTCCAGCTTCTGATGATCGTCGTTCACGATCTCACCTTGCACAACGCAATACTCACTAATTTCAGGTAATGTCGACTGCATGCTACTTCAGGACCAGCGCCAGAAACGAAATCTCTGCGCCCCGTCAACTTGTACAAGGTGTTGACGTGTACAATACAAATTTGAGTTGGAGCATGTCCCGGTAAGACACGCTATCGCGCTTGCAATTGCCTGAGCAGCAGTCCAACTACACGGAGTCTGGGAAACTACTTTTTTGCCTGGACTCTGAGAAGCCAGGCAAAACAAATTTCGTTCTGAAAATGCACCTGCATGAAATGTGAAAGCTCATGCGTGAACTGTAAACTTGCTGGAAACTAGGACTGCGCACCAGAATGCAATCTGCAGGGTTAGCTTGCAGCTACAACAGATTCCAGACCCAAAGAAGTCCCGGGGAGCGCATCTTGGCCTTGGAAGAAGAGCCAAAACATCGGCCCCCATTTCTCCCCGCCAGCCCCCAAAATGATGATCCAGGCGCTCCCATTCAGAAGAAGGGCTACCCGTGCGCACCCGCCCTTGGCGCAATCTAGCCTCTGAAAGCAAGCCACTCTTTTGGCCACCAAATGCCCTGCTGGCCACCGCACCCCCACTACACAGCTCACGACGTTCGGGTATATGAACGAAGCTCCCTCCCACGAGGAGCTTTCGTGCTAACAATCTCTTGAATCCAACAACCGTGCAGATGCCTGCACAAGTCTGTCCAAGAGAAGCAATACTTGCATCAGTTCGGCTGAGGGCTGCACAAACTAGATCGGCAACATCCAGGCCAGCTAAGCATACCTTGCCAGAGAGGTACACAAATCCAATTGCCTGTAATGTGTCTGCTGGCAGACCCACTAGCGGACAAAAGAAGCCGCACTGGGATGGATCCCGTGGTCAGTACAGATGATATACACTAGAATATGCCATAATATACCCTAATATACCATAATTATACTATTATAGTGTAGTAGTCTCCATGTTCTTTTCCACCATCCCCGTATAACCCCTAAATAACCCCAATATATACCGAATTATAACCCCTATGTATCCCGAATAGAATCCCAATAAACCCCAATAAAACTCCTATATAACCCTACTACAACCCTAACGTAACCCGAATATAACCCTAATGTAACCTATTATAACCCCGTATTCCCAATATATTTTACCCTATGATCACCTGAGACTTGGGCATGGCATTGCTCCCTGTCGGCCCCAATTCTCCTCGGGTCCCACAACATGTCAAATAGGGCATATACTGGGGTTACATTATGACATGTTGTCGTATATTATAATATAATATGGTATATATCATAGTATACTATAGTTCTCATTTGTGGTCAGAAACCAATGGGAGCGAAGGCTGCTTTACATTGTGCTTGCACAAAAGGCTGCGGAAATCATGCAACTCCATTCAAGCTACGGAAGCTTGCTGAAGCATGCTGAAGCAGCAGACGGTGACATCAGTGCTTGCTGCATCTGAGCCACGTCTCGCCAAGCGGCAGGTAGTAGATCAAGCAGCCCTCTGCAAGAAGTGGGCACCACAATGGATCATCATGACTGTGTCAGACACAACTCTGCGCCTCCAGGGAAGGATCTGGATTCATGTTTACCAGCCGAGGAACTTTTTGGGCATCCTGCTCGGAAAAGATGACACGTCCTAGGAAATGCATCGATGGATTTCTCCGCCTCCACGTCATGCTCCATCCCCGATATGCCAAGCCTGATCTGCCACAGCAAGATCTGTCAAATCACGCTGATCCGGAACGTGCTCAGCTGCCGGCTCTTTGAGAAGGCGCTCACGGAAGATTTTGTGCTCCTTGCCCAGTAGACGCCGGGTGCCAGAACCAAACGTCAAAGCAGGGCTTGCCTGAGCCGTCTTTTCGATATCGGTGTTCTTCAGAGTCCAGCCTCAGTATCCCACGAGCCGCAAGGACACAGGATTGCCGTGAGCGCACAAGGCCGCCAGCTGTCGCTAAGGCTCTGAAGGCCTTGTAGTTCTCGCTTCAGGTCCTACAAGCAAATGTCTTGGTACATGTGCGGACCCATGCTACCTGAACTTTGTTTTTCAGCCGCGGACTGGTGGCTGAATTTCGTTGTTCATCCGTGATTTAGCTGTAAGTGGAGTGTCTGCTGTCAGCAGCGTCCTCCTCTCTGTTTTGCGAGCGCTTCCTAAGCGAACGCAACTCTTGCGTGAGGCGTGAACACATGCAATGGTTCAGCCTGCCATTTCAAGCCGAACAGCGTGCTAACAGAAATGAAACAGCGCAATGCAGAATCAAACTCAAACGAGGATATGGCATTTCTTCCTCAATGCGCTGTCGTAGCTCGGCCTGCTACTGTGTGGCGACGTGGGCAGCTGTAGACTTAATGGATGCGAGAGGGGCACCTCCAGCGTCCGAGCAGCCTCCACACGCTGCCGCTCCTCCTCCTTGACTCAAGACTTGCAGCACCCGTGCATCATTAAATTGTCTCGTGCCGCTGCAAACTTCTACATCTTGAGGATTCTAGCACCTGACACTGGGTCACGTCACTTGATCCCGCCTCACGCTGCTGGACTGCCTGCAGCTTGGCCTGGGGCACAGCCGGCTGATGCAGCAGCACTGCGCAGTTACAAAGCTCTGACATCAGAGTCATTATTCCAGGGAGCCTGAAGCTCCTCGACGGCCTCCTGACGTTCTCGCTCAGCTTGTGAAAGTGCTTCTGCCTTCAGGTGACTGCCAGGCTAAGAGAATGATGGAGACAAAGACGCTGAGAGGCCAAGAACATGCGCCGCACTTACTGCGGCAACACCTTCTTCTGCTGCATGCGCTCCAGCTCCTGTTGCTGTCTTTGTTCACGCTCCTGCGCCACAGCAGATGTACGTCACCTTGAAGATGATTTCATCAGATTGCGCGAAATGTCTTGCATCCCAGTGCCTGCATGGTTCTCATTTCCTCTGCTCTAGCTCGGCTTTCTCGCCTTATCGCCAGGAGCTTGACGTGCGCAGGCATCATTCCACGTTGCGTCATAACACTCATCATCTAGCGCGGAGCTTGCAAAGGTTGCAGTCTGCGAGAGCTAGCTAGGCACTACATAGGACTCAAGACAGGCATCCAATTCTTGGACAAACAAGGCTGGCACTCCCTGTGATGCAGAACTTCGCATCTTGCTCCCAAGTGCACAGGAAAGCTTTTGTTTACGAGGCCCAGATTATCGCGAGTCGCTCACATGTACCCGCGCACGCCAACATGCAAGTCCTGAGCACTTCTTTCTGGCCAGACCCTACACAGTCCGGCCACAGGCTAGCGCGAAGAGCTATCCAACAAGAACAGCAATGAAATAAATTGCCACCATGAGCAATTGAAGCGCAATATGTGTTTCTGGTCATCCAGAGAGATTCGGCCAGGTGCCGAACTCTTGCAGTTCGCGAAGCTCGCGCAGCTGCCGCTCCATCACAGCCTAAGAATTAGCATTGAGTGGTAAGCTTCTGTTACATGTGTGGACCCCATGTCATACGGATGTGGTATGAGAGCTGAATGGAGCTGATGAGAACATCACAACCTGAACATGCTCAATGCACAAGCTAAGACGTTCTTGAAAAGACTGTCGATTTCATACTGAACTCTTGCCTTCGAAGCAGTACTTCCACAACGTAGTCTGTCTTCAACTTGCAAGACGGTCTAAACTCCCAGGTGCCCTCCTGAAAAGGCTCCATGTTTGATGCGTTTTTATTGCTCTGCCTGATGCACAGATGAAAACACGGCAATAGCAGTTCCAAGAGCTTGATTACTTGCTTGATGCATTTCAATAGCCCCATGGGGTATCTAACTGCCAGACTTTGACAGCTTGGAATGACCTGGGACGCCATGTCAAATGTGGGATGAGGAACAGCTGAGGCTCGCGCCGTTTCTGCATGACTGGCATCAATTTGCTGCAGTCGTTGCTGGAGCTCTGCCTGGTACGGTGGCATCTAACACATCGAAATGCACAGCAACCGAACTAGTGACGATGGCTTGGTCGAGCCTCCTTCTCCTCGTTCAGGCGCTGCAAGCGATCCCACTCCTAACCAGTCTCAGAAGCAGTGCAGATCGGCCACCGAGTTCGATCAAAAGCAGCGAACGTGCCCCAGTGCTTACTCCAATCGAAACACAGCACTACTGTGTCTTCCTCATCGTTCTATCTTGATGAAACTGGTACTTCCTGTAACGCCGTAGGGAGACGCACACCTGTAGATTTGAGCGCTGCTGCTGAAGATATGCAGATCCAATAGAAGTCAGTGCGGTTGAGCTCTCTTGATCCAACGTAACTTAAATCTTCTCAAACAGAACGAGCCAATTACTGGTGAATCTGTGATGGAAGCATCTTGTGGCCGCACCTGTGCTTTGTCGTCCTGCTCCCTCTTAACCAGCTGGAGCTGCTGTTCCGCGTTCCTCAGCCAGAAAGAGGAAGAGCAGGACCCGAAAAATGGCTACGCTTGGGCCCAGACTGCAAACTTCTGAGCTGTTCTTCAATGCGCTGCTTTTCCTCCTGCATCTTCTGCGCCAGGTCCTGCTCCATTCACAATTCTATGGACCCCTACTTTAATTAAGAGATAAAAGCATGAAGGAAACAGTCCTGGTTCTTCTTCGATTCTTCCACTTCCCGCTCCAGTTCTTGCTGCAGTAAAAGCTTTTGTTGCCTCTCGGCCTGCAATCTCAGCATGATCAGGATGACATTCTTAGCACCACAGCGCGAGGACTGAGGGCATTCTGACTCTGAGGCCCAGTGAAGTTTCGACTAGAGACTAGAGCAATGGCTTGCACCTTTGTGTGCCCGCCTCTAGTCGATCCTGAACTTCTTGTTTTTCTTTGGAGAGCGTCTCGATCAACTCGCGCTTATCCTCCAGGACTGTAACAACCACGAGTTGTTGAGCGAAGCACCTCTCTAGCACTGCGCTGCGGGGCAGCTGCACTCCAGGCAGAAAGCGTTCCTGCTCGTTCTTTTTGGCGTTGGTTTTAATCAATTTGCAGCGTGCCTTCGCTCACAGTATGACTTAGACACCAGGTCTTCCGTGCCACATGATCGTGCCAAAAGAGCTGCTGCACACCGTTGAATGTAGGGACGCCGCGGCAAATTCCAATGTGCTGATGGTCTCTTCGAAATTTGCACGCGCAGGACTTATGCAGGCCAACAAGACCTCTGTTGTTCGGCATTGCATGCAGCAAGATGCACAAAAAAGACTGCTTGCAAGTGCGAGCAGCTGTGCGGCTGTTGCCACTGAGCGCATCCTGCAAAGATTCACGAGCAACTGCCTCACCCGAGCAGCTGTGAGAGCAAAGCCTTTAGCAGCAATGTGAGCTTGGACTCACGGAAGACGGGTAAGATGCCGCTTCCAGCTGTTCCGGCAAGAGCCTGCGTGGAGTGGCAACCCAACTTCTGCGAAGAAAGGCTGGACTTTGAAGCCTGGATGACCCGGCTTAGAGCTGACAGTGACTGATTGATGGCGATGCCTTCCTGAAATTGCCGGAGATGAAGACAAAAGCGCCGTACCTGCACTCCGCACCTGAAGCCGCTCTCCAGAAGCGTGGGTCTTCTTCTGCTTCTCGCTTCCAGCCAGGTCCTGCTGCAAAGAACGATTCTTACAAGGACGATTCAACTAAACTGCCGGGCGCCCAGCCACAAAGTGGATTCTAGACTGAAGATCTCGAGCTTGTGGCCTTGCAACAGTCAATCAAAACACGAATGAAGCACTCCAAACAACTCCAAACAGGACTGCAAGCATCATCATGTCATTCTCCAACGTTGCCGTAATCTGAGCTGCCAGCCCTGAGTAGCTCAAGCGAATGTCCAAGGTGAACACTGCATGAGACCGCGAGGAGTTGGCATTCATGCTCGTAGCACCTCAGCTGCTGATTTTAGTGACGATGGCTTCATCCAGCAATATCATATCAGAAGCAAAAGCACAAAGCTCAGCTGAGGCAAAACGTCTGACTGAACGTTTCAGGTTAAGAGGGAACGTTAAGATGCGTCACAGACCCGTAGCAGGAAGCAGAGTGATGCAGGGTTCATGGCCCACAGCTCGGTTTTTGGCACCGAAATCCAAGAGTTCGCGCACCTCGGTTCAGGCTCGGCGGAGGTGAGATGCCTTACGCTATCTCTCATTGCGTAACTGCTGCTTTGCAGTGCTTTGCAGAGCTGTGGACCTCCTTGCTGGTGGACACAGGGCTCTGAATGAGGCCCGGAACGTGTGGCCCGAGAGCAGGATGGAGCCTGCAGGAACTCTGCAGGAGAAGGTTGGTTTCTCGGGCTATAGCCCGCATGTACCAAACACATCACCCACAACCAACCATAAACAAACTATAAGATCGACAATGGGTGGGCTTCAGGAAAAGTCCCTGTAGCCAACCAAGCTAGCGGGCCTGACTTGCAGGTCTGTCCTTGTGTTCACGAGCAGGTCATACATCTTCTCCTTCATCGCTCAAGGAACTATGAAGTCTTGCAGGCTGTCAAGATTTGCCAAGTCCTGGTAGATTTCCAGGTAGCTGGCCAACACCTTGACCACCAGGCAAAATGTACGCATGACTTTGCACAGCCCATGTGGGTCCATGTCCCCGCATGTCTTTCTCTAGGTTCACCACGGCAGTCTGCAATGGCGTGCCCTCTTTCTCGACGCTTTGCTTCTGCCTCATACGAATTGATCGCATAGCTTTGAAGCCAGAGCACGGCAGCGGAGCCACTGCAGGGTGATATGGGGGTCATATAGGGGTTATGTAGGGATAATACCAGGGATAATGGAAAAGAAAATGGAAACTACCTAAAGAGCAGGATCTCGTGGAAACATGTGGAATGCACGGCCGGGGCCTGGCCTCGAGATCATCTCGAACAAGCATTCACACGCCCGTGGCCTTGATAGAAACAGGGATCTCCACAATACGGCGCGTAAATTACTCGCTTGAGTACACCAGAACAGAAACCCTTGTTTAAAACAGAGGAGAGATGCTTCCAACGTCGACTGATGCTGCCAGGCTTACGGGCTTACGTTAGTGGCCATAGGATCTTGATGCAGGATCTTCGTGTGAATTAAGTGGGAAAAATTCCCACGAGGCTACCCTTTAAATTCAGTGTCTCTGCATCGCTTTCAGCTGGGGAGGCGGCAGCAAGCCTTGATCTCTTTCACTGGCCGGGTCGCCCAACCTGATCACAAAGAGCTGGCACAGCTCCACCTCCTTGATACATTGTTCTGTCGAAAAATCAGGGGTATTTCCACCTCTCAGCCTGTCTTTCAAGTTCTTGTTTTATTCGGAACTCCGCAAACGGATTGTCTTGCTATCCAGCAATTCCTTCCTTCAAAAGGACCGCCGGGCAGTGAGCACATCATAATCTGTACACGTGCAAGCTGATCCAAGAAGTGCTCTTGCATAACTTCCGAAGAATTGCCCGTCCCATTTCACCACCGCACAGATTGAGAAGGAACAGCGTGTGCGCAGATGCCAGCAACAAAGCTTGACTTTACCACGCCTGCTGAATTTCACACCATGCCTTGAGCCACTGCTTCTGTGCAGCTTAGGCCGCCTAGCAGTGCTCAGAACCAGGTAGAACGTCCTGCAATCATTTGAAAGATGATTGGAGCTGTGCCTCTCATCAGAGTTAGGGATCAAATACACAGCCTGTCTGAGAAACGAGTCATGCACAAGGCGTTACCTCATAAAGATGAAGCTAGCAGGCAGTACTCTGCCAACCGTATTGGGCAGGCTGTGATTCTATCTGCAAAGGACTAAAACGGCTTGGCGTACGCCAAGCATGTCTCCCGCGCTGTCAAGGGTGCGCCGCAGCAACGAGCATCTCAGCCCCCGCCGCCTTGGGGTGCAGAGGGCACCTGGAGTGTCCAGAAGGCGCGTCTTGTCATTTCCACCACGAATTCGCTACTCCCTATGCGACAATTTTCGAAGCAACTGTCTCGGCCAAGCCAGTAGGCTCTGCCTTTTGATGCTTCAGCAGTCTAAAAATCCTCATGCAATGTTTCGCGCTCCAGAACATGCGAAGGGCAGCCTGTGCGAGGAGCAGATGCGCAAAGATGCCAAAACTGTATGAAAGGTGACACCCGCAACAGAAATTTGTGGAGTGCCACCGTGACGAGCCATTCTCGGGACCTGGAATAGAAATGAATAGAATACATCCCCTTTGTCTTTTTGAAGGATCCTTCGACTGTAGCCAGTCACCTAGATCCCAGCATGGCTCTTGACACGATAGCTTACAAAAACGTCCACTGGCATTCCATGAACAGCTTGCTGCTGCAGCCTTAAGCTGATTCCTTGAAGGGTTCCGCATGCCAGGAGTTGAACAGCTAATTTCACGGTTCTCACTATCACAGCTTTGATGCAGTTGCCCTACAAGCGTGCATATGGAACTGTCCCTGCATAATTGCCTTGACACAATTTGCGGCAACTCCTTGGCCAGCCCTCTCTTATTGCCTGCAGCATACTTAAGTCTTAAAGCAGTTTGTTGCCAAAAAGACGCTTGCGGGTTGCAACGGCTTGGAAACACTTAAAGAGCAACTGCCGCCCCGAAGCACCTGTGCAAGCATGGCAACGAACTCTCTGACAAGAGGCTGCAATTGCGAGCCCAAATTGAAATACTTTGGATTGTAAGAATCTCTTGCCCTTGACATTGAACCCCCTCACAAAACAAAACGAGCCATTCGCTTTCATCCCTTAAGAGACTAGAATTAGATTCCCGGCTTTTGAGCAGGATCCACCTAAAGACGGATGCTCATGTGCAACCGAATTCTCTAACCCTATGCGCAACAGTGTTGAATATTGCTTGCCAGGAAAGAATCAGCAGGGGGGCGCTTTCATCTCTCGGGAAGAGATTTCGGTACAGAACGGCCGAAGACCTGCTGGACATCCCTTGATGTACAGGCGTCTCAGAGCTTCAGATCGCGAGCCAGTCTGGCACAGAGCTTTGCCAAGGTTTTTGATGACTTGTGGCATGACTCGGGGCTAAACAGCTTGTTTCCATACGCTGCTAAAAACATCGTGCGCAGTAAATCTAGATCACCAAAATCCTGCGCTGAACCACAATGACCTGACAGTTGCAACCGCGCCTGTTTGCGGTTCCGCACTGATGGACCTGCAGGTATGCTCTTGACAGCATAGCCAGCGGACTGCCGCAGCTTCGGAAGAGCAACAGCAGCCAATCAATTTCAAAGAGTGCTTACATGCTTCCTGTTTGCTGAACAGCCATACTCGCCTTCTACTGCGCAATCCAATGCAAAGCAAGCTGTCAGCATTCTGATTGCAAAGGTTGCGTGCACTCGATAGTCAGCAAGCGCATGTTGCCTCTCCATCTCCGCTGAAGGCTGCTGGATTGCATCCTCGTTGCCATCACTATGCACCGATCCCGAACTCGTCGTTCGCCTGCAGTGCAAACCCAGCAGGTGGCCAAATCAGTAAGAAACTGAACGTAGAGCCCTGCAAACACTGTCCGGCACCTCCTCCGGAGCCACAAGCTGGACTTCTGCGGCCTTCGGACTTCATGCAGCATGTCTGCAAGCCAGGTGATAATGAGATAGAAGGATGCGCATACAACTGGATTTGGAGAATCACACAAGCACCAGCGTGAATGTAGTGAGTGGAATCCTGCTGGCAGCACATTCGCATCAACGAGCTGTTTGCTTCGTAACGAACCACAACATGCTTGAGGTATATGTTTTGAATGGGGAGCCTCTGATGCATTGATCCTTGAAGAGGGTTCGACCTTCAGAAGTAATCCTTGTACAATCCCTATACTATTTCTAGGCAAAACCCTAAATGGCAGTTTCCAGATAAACGTTCGATTATCCCTATATAATTCCAATACGGCCCTACGCATCACTATATGACCCCAATCTATGCCCCTTTTGTAACATAGTAGCTTCTCATTTGCTTTTCCATCATTCAGCACTATCTAGTTACCTGTCATCTTCATTTTCCATGTGGTTCTCCAGTATCCTCGTTTCTATGTATACGTTTCATGTTCCGTACATAACAGATGCGTTATACAGAATATATGATGTTATATACATATGTCATATACGAGTGTATACAAATCTATACATACATATATATATATATATATGGATATATAGATATATATATATATATCTCTGCTCACTTGGATCCTGATGTCCAGAAAGGCCTGATAACTTCCAAGGATGGCAAAACATCGACGGTGCGCACGCAGGCAACACCTGGATTGCTGTTAAGGAACAGGGATAATGGAGAATAAAATGTAAATATGTATATACATATATGCATGTATAGAGAATGTAGGGATAATGGAAACAAGGAAACTACAATACATAGGAGGACACGTAGGGTTATATGGGGGCACTTAAACTAAAGTAACAAAGGTGGGAACCTCGATTATGTGCAACATACCTGTAATATAGCACATGGTAACTTCATTTCAGTTCCTTCCATTAACAGCAACCAAGACACTGTAGCGCAATTTGGCTCTGTGTCGCCGATCCGTCACTGCCTGGAAGGACTGAATTATTTAGGGTTTGGAATCTAGAGAACCAAGACTTACAACCTGCCCTCCGACAAGCAGCTTCCTGTCACAAAAGCATGAGGCAAAGGTTGGCCTGAACAAACTTCATGTCACTCTCATCGTCCTCTTCTTCATCGGCAACGCTGGACCTCAAACAATCAGCAGGACATAGCAGGACATGTTTTCTCAAATGGCATCATAGCTACCAATTGAAGTACCTCTTTCCAACTCATGTGGGTTGGGAGTTTGCGAGTTTACAGCAGTGAGGCCTGAAATTACAATATGAAGACAGACACGTCTCTGCAGCACCCTTCCGAACTTCCTGCTGCGACTGCACCTGCTCATCACTATCAACGGTCTCAAATGCCGTAAGCTGGGCACACATGCGAAACACTAGGCGGTCGTGGCGAACAGGACCGTGTGGACGCTGGTGACGTCGGGGAGGTTGGTGAGCTGACAGAATGTGAATATGACGAAGGAGGCGATATGAAACTCGGATCCTCAGAAGAGCCAAATGCGAGAACTCTCTTGCTTGAGGCATGCCCGGGCTTCTCTGACTCCACCACATGGAGCACCCAACAGATCTCAGCCTCTAAGGCAAGTGCTCCGAAGCGCAGGGATCTTCTGACGGCACAAGGACTGCACGGAGGATCCTGCTTTGCAACATCCAGAAGGCAAAAGATTATGCTTTCAACTGTGCCGGATAACCTACCGAGCATGCAAACAGGTCATGCTCAGCCCTAGAATAGATAACGCGGTCCTGCTCAGGGGTTGGGAAACGGCTTGCGCCATCAAAATCTGGCTGCATGTTCACCCGCCGGGAGGAGGAGGACACCTTTCTTCATGCCCAGGTGTGTCTCAACCAAGCGCTACGAAATTCTTATCCTTCTCAGATTGACCGTCCGAAAGGTGCATTCTAAAACATCCAAGCTAAGCTGAGTGCTGAAAATGCAAGCGTTGCTCAAAAGTCTTGCTGACAAGGATCCAGCGTACGGAAGGAGCTAAGACCTGACGGCAAGGCTCGGCAAGGCTCGGCAAGGCCCGCAGCTGAAAAAGCAAGGAGCAAAAACTGCCGCAATGATTTTCAAACACCCCAAAGGTGCCTGGACTTAGGCTCATTTGGACGAAGTCGCGCAACCTTGGTGGTGGGAACAATGATTGAATGTTGAACGCCGTCGAACATGATGAGCCGCTTCTCAGGCAATTATTCCACTTAATGGGAATGAGGGCCCCCCTCATATCACCGCCCAAATACAATTATGCTTGCTATGGATGTCCAGCAAAAGGGACCTGCCCCAATTTTTTGGAACCTCCCATGGTCCCTTGTATTTCAGGCATATGGCTCAAAAGGCCTGTTCTTCGCAACTAGCCAGGCATACCTTGAGGGTACCTGCAACCAATAGCAGGCAACTGTATCAATTGTAGCAAGACCTTCTCGAGATGCGAACAAGGATGTCACAGGCAGGTCTCTCAATAGTATGTAACATTTGGAGACGGTCACACTTTCAAAAACGATCCCAAGAGGGCCCTTGCATTCTGAGCATCCCTAAGCCCGGACAGCCCAAATCATTCCACCACCCAACAGAAGTAAATGGATGAAAGCCTTACAGCTGAGAGCAATCTGTTCGGGGTATTTCGAATTGGTCACGGGGTGAAATCTTCTTGCTCGGGTGCGGGTCTGCACCCAACATGCATGAGCATATGATAGCCGCGCTGGGTTTCAGAAAGCTCCTAGCACCTGGTTTCTGAACCTTGGACAAGCCTCCCTGTCCAAAATCTGTTACTGTTGAACTGTTGGGCAAACAAAGCCCAGGTGGGACTACGTATAGAGGACCAAATTGCTGCCATTGGACTGCATTTTCCAGCTAGGCGATTCGATGAGCGTCGCTTGAGAGCTGTTGGTCTCCTTCGGAACACTGAGGCGCTGGTTGGCACTCTCTTGCCGAGGTTCTCTGGGCCTGCTTGTGAAGCACCCTCAGTAAGCACACTGAACCCAACTCCCATGCTTTGTAACTCCGCAAAAGGAGCACCTACTTCTGACAAGCTCAAGAAAATTCAACTGATAAGGCACAAAGCTGCGGAAAGGTCAAGACTGCCAAAAATGTCCTTTCCGGGGTCCATTGGTGAGTCCTTCGCCCTTCACAGTTTCCGAAACAGAGCCCGGGGTTGCTTTAAACTTGAACTTTCGAAACCGGTTCGAACTTGCAACATAATGCACGGTGGCATGTATTGCGGTCTAGAGTTCTACCTGCTCGAATGATGATGTCACTGTTTACCACCACCGTGAGTGTGAATCGTTATCAGAACTGGCAGCAGTGACTTCCTGTTGTTATGATTGTGGGAGTCGTAAAGGTTACAGACTCTTGCCGTCACAGTTCACACAAATTTCGTCCTTACTGTACTACGCGTTTCAACCAATTTGCCGTTGGCATGGAGGTTCTAGGAATCAGCGTTCCGTCTAGCAGCTAGCCTTTCAGCTGCTTCGTTGTAATATACGACCTGCAAAACATGAACACAGTGCGTGCAAAACAGCGCTCAGAGTGGCAGTGACCCACTACCGGAATCTGCGCTTGTAGATTTCCAAGATCGGTTTGAGCATGCATTCGACGCACACAACCGCCACGGCCCAATCACATGGCCCAATCACATGCTCGTGTAACTTCACTGTACTACAAGTCGCATCCGAATTGCTTGACAGGACATAAGTGGACTCGTGAACCCCAATCCACTGGACAAGAAAGAGAGCACCTTGTCCAAGTTGTCATTCAGCATGGCATCCAGACCATCCAGCGAATTCAGCGAATGTGGCTGCATGATCAGGTCACTCTGGGCATGATCACTCATGCGGTCTTTCATACGCGGGCAGTATGCGACTTGTGCGGCCATGGCACAAATCCAGCCCAAGTTCAAGATCGATGGATCCAAGCGATGTGAGTCATGGTTCAAGTATCGACAAAAAGTCTTGTTTGCCTAGAGTTCCCTGCAACCACACCCCTTTGACTGCTCTTGCTGCATTCAGGCAACTGCACACGCTTGAGATCCTGACCAAGGACACATCCAGTCTCAGGCCACAATGTATGCAAGAGACACAACTTCCACTTCAGACCTGCAAGCAGTCATTGGCAAATGATTGGCCATGCCGAGTGCTGAACACGCTGTAGCTCTTTCCCGAGCCCGTCTGCCCATAGGCCATGATGCAGCCGTTGTAGGCCTTGCCCCCAAACCCCTATATAACCCCAATAGAATGTAGTAGCTTCCATTTTCTTTTCCATTATCCCATTATAACCCCTATATAATCCCTATATAGTTAGAGGAAGCACCTGCAGCACCTGCAGCACCTGCAGTTCCAAATCCACAAAACAAGGGATTATATGGGGATAATGGAAAATAAAATGGAAACTACTATAATGGGTTATATAGGGTATATATCGGGGTAATATGCGGATAATGGAAAAGAAAATGGAAAACTATATGGATTATAGGGTTTATATAAAACCCACAAGCCGAGCAGCATCCAGGGCGTTCTCCAGGATGGGTATCCCCAGCTCCTTGGAGCCACGGAATGGAACCAAGAATCCATGCCATCGTGTATCCAGGCCTGGAAAACTGCGGCCTGTGATCCTTCCTGTGCAGTGGGATCCGTAGACTTGAAAACGGAGTCCTGGCAGTGAGAGCGCTGTCACTCAGCCCTTGCCTTTCGTCCTTCTGCCCATGACTACGCATGCCACTGTCAGGGCTGTGGAAAGTGATGGAGCAGTTGAGCAGCAAGTGAACTTTGCCAAGAGGCTTTGCCACAGGACAGGGGCATGAGGAATGAAGCCTCACAAAGAGTTGTGGGCAAGGAGAAAAAGTTTCTCAACGGAGCCTCCAAAAGGTCGGCGCCCTGAGCAATCACAAAGAGCTACGTGCTCCATCATGCTGCGTCAGCGGTAAAGAGATGCCCTGCCACTACGCCGGCTTTGGGGCGGACTCGAGGTCAATCGCTGGCATGCGTGTGAAGATTGGATTCAAGCTTTTTCTGATCCCGAGGCGTGTTTGTCGGAAGCAGATGTCTAGCCGGTACATTAAATGGAAGCACAGAGATTCGTGAGGCAACCACAGCACACTGCACTGACCACAGACAAGCAGAAGATTTTGGCTTGGCCTATCATGGCCATTGTGGCCAGCAAGAACAAGAAGACAACATCAAAGTAAACGAGCCAAGGGATCGAAGGTAAACTGCTTTGGCTTGACATAGTCGCTGTCGTGCCCATAGCGGTCCACTCCCTTGGAGATGACCTTTGGTTGAAGAGTCCAATATGCAGGGGGTTCACATTGTCACGAATATGACTTGACTGCGACGTTTGCAAGCTGGGACAACTCAAACTTAGCTAGGCGCGGTCGTCTCCACCACGTCCAGAACCTCATGAATGACAAACGGATCTCTTTTTGGAAATCTGCATGTTGGCTGGCATTGATCTGTCTTTAACTCTCTCCATCAGATCGTTTGCAGACGCCTGGTTTCCTCTTCAGAATCAATCTGTCAATTTCGCGTCCGCCTCGGACTTATGGTGGAGGCCCATCTCAAGGGGCAACAGACAGACGTGGCGCTGCATTGCGCTTAGGAAGGTCTGCGTTGCGTGCAGGAGGGGGGACAGAAAATTAGAAAACGACAACTGCTGCAGCAACGTTGCCTGCTCAGCTGACATTGGCGGCAAAATGTTTGCCACCGCAGTGTCTTCTGGCTGGCTGGTTCGCAGCGCTTTTCGCGCGTGATGACTGCCAATTGATCGCGTCCACCTGCTCGTCGATGTCAATCTTGAACACTTCAGGGACGTAGAGAATTTCCGCCTATCTTCGGGCCGGTGCATAGCACACGTCCCACGCCAAGTGGCTGGCGCATGATCTTGGAGGTCCAGGCCTTGGTCACCTCCGTGAATAGCACAGCTCGTCACTTGCCGAGATTACCCGCCTACATCTCTGTATCCTTCAACGATGCAACGCAGGCCACCATCCCAGGGTCCCAGACCAAAAGTTTGTATCTGCTTTGCTGGAACCGTCCAGGAGGGATTTTCGTACATGACAACAGGAGACTGATATGAAGTATGCAATAAAGCCATTTGATGGCTTTCTTCACGTCAGTCTCCTGTTAAAAATAAAATGCCGCGATCGCCTGTGAAAAGACGGAAGCGGGCCCGATCAAGTGTCTACTTGGGAGCTTCTCTGCCGCATAGAATGGGCATCATTCCGATCATCATCGCGGTGCAATCGAGAGAATTGGGGTTTCTCAATATCATTGTTCCCGCAACGTGAATCCCCTGATTTGGGCAAGGTCCGGGCAATGTTAGGGACCTCTCTTGAAGGACTCTCTTCATGATCAGGGCGTGCTTCATCTTGATTGCGCCGTATCTTCAGAATTTGTCAGACATGTGCTGAATCATCGTGTTGTGTGGAGCTGTGCTTACGCCCAGGTACAGCCTTTCAAGAAAGCTGGAACTATCTTCACCCAAAATGCCGCACTGCTTGCTTTTCATACCAACAGAGCATTGCAGCCTGGCCACCATTTCTGCCAATCCACCTTCTCCGAGCTCTTTGGCCTTAGAAACAACTTGACAGCGTGAAGTCCGGTACTCCTCTGCTCTCATATCCGTGACATGAGGGGCAGACGCTGAAGGGCCGGATGCGCACCGCCACCCTGATACTGTTCCTTGACGAGGTGAGAGAATTGGAGAGAGTGCAAGAAAAAATGCCAATGCGGCTGCCATTCCTGTAGACAAAGTAGAACAATATCTCCATGGGTTTTTATCTTGCAGCCCAGGTTGCGGATTCGGTGAGCCATCCGGCGCGCTACCCGCAACCTCTGCCGCTCAAACGTTCATGACGGCGTGTGAATGACAATGTCTGAGGCCTGACGATGCTGCTCTGGTGGAAGTGCTGAGGCCTTCACAACCGTCCCGCGCGGACGCATTGTTGCGCGCTTGGATTTCGCAGGCGACCTTCGTCAGCAGAGCGATAGACAAAAGATTGCACATGAACATGTCCATAACCGCCATGCTCAGGGAGGAGTTGCCAGGCATCTTTGAAACACGCCCCTACACTTCCTACAATGCTCGAAGCTTGAGTGTCCAAGCTTATGCCTTTGCGAGCGCGCAGCTCATGCATCCCACTTGCTTGCTGGCGGGCAGCGATTCATCATTGGCAGAGGCATCATTTTTGGGACCATCCACACCTTCGACGCCACATCCCACTTGTAGAACAAAAGAGTTTTCCCCACTTCGTTCTGATAGCTGTCCAGGAATTCCCTGAATGACTAGCCAAGCAGCTCATCTCCAAGTTGGGGTTGAAGCCTCAAGCACCTCAGCTACTCTCTTCTGCAGCAGCGCTGTTATCTTGACATTGCGCCTGAAACTTGTGCCATGCGTCCAGAAAGCCATCATTGCAGAAAAGTCTTGGTAGAAGCCACTGATGATTGGTATGCTGCGGTTCACCCGCTGTAGCTATAAGCAGCTCGTCACAAGAGTTTCTTTCTAGCAGAACTCACCAAAGCTGCTGTCAGTCGTACAGCAACTCGTGCTTGCCATCTGAATGCACATTCAGCCGGTTTGCCATTTCATGATGCTAGCTGATGAGCAGCTGAAGCCAAAGTGCAGCTCAGGCAGGCTTATTGCGTGCAGAAGGTGTCACCGTCAAAAGTCTTCCCAACATGGCAAGTCATGGCAAGTTATTTTCTCTTTGCCTCACGTCTTTGCACGAGGCACTGCATCCAATGCGCTCATCACGACCCGGCACAGCGAGGAGAAGCTGGCGGCACCTGCCTCGAAGCGAAAGCTTCACAGCTGCGTTGGAAGGAAGGCTGAGTCACTGCAGGTTGGACAGCTGCAAACTTGAGGCAGGCAGGAGCTCTTTTGTCCCGAAACGTGGCCCAACAAGCAGACGAATTGCTCTCCGATCTGGTTTCAGAGTCGAAGGCCTGGATATGCTTGGAACCTTTGCCCTACCAACAATGCCATGTGGCATTGTACCACGCCACTAGCAAGCTTTGACGCATCTGCCCAAAGTCAACCATCAAATACGTGAAGGCCAGCAGTACATGTTCTGTAAACTTAAGCATGGAAGAGATGCTGGTAAACTGGTGACCGCAAAGCCCTGTCAGGCTTGGCAGAGAGTGGTGCTTCGAGCTTCCTGCCAAAGCAGAAAGCACCACATCATTTGTAAAGCATGTCACAAGCAGAGTCAGCTTGCCAGGACGATCTAATCCTCGAGCCTACAAGCTCATGTACTGGAATCAAAATTTGGCTTGTCTGGCCATCGCAAGCAACGTTGCGAACCACAAGCTTCACCTATCTCTCTTGCAACCCCTTGATCTTGTCTTTGACTGGCTTCCGACGCTCGCATCAGTCTACTTTCGCTTGCCAGGATGTCTTCTCTTCTTCAACATGTCCGAATCTAGTTTGCATTCCTCGCTCCCAAGTGATTCACCAACATGCATTTGCACCCTACCTTCTCAAGGGGGATTGCAGAGAAACATAGCCAACGTTGTTCCTTTGCTTTGTTTTGCTTCTGTCACTGTATCTTTTACTGGATTGCATGTCTTTGCGCTGCGTGTGTGCTGCTCAGACATTGATTTGTCTTGCACTGCTGAAATACAGCAAGAAAACAGAGAAACGCTGAACAGGCTTCAGGAGGCTCATGGTTTTTGTTGCTCAAAAACTGACAGAAAGACATGCCCGCCACCCTCAGCATTCCAAAAAAAAAACAAAACATCGCAGCTAGGAATGCGCGTAGGCAAAGAAACCCGATAGAATCTTGGAATCTTCTGCCCTGCAATGCTGGCCATGAAACTTATAGGGGAAACATGGTTTGAACCGGAAGGAACCCATACCCTGAAACCCTCAGACAAGCCCTTGGACCAAGGCACGAAACAAGATTTCGGCAGCCATCAGCCCTCAAACCCAAAAACCGACTGCCAACCTGAAACATGCAATTTGACCCTTTCGCTACTTATGTGTCCAAACAGATTCTTTCGCCTAGCCCAGAGTAAGTTGACTGGCTGGAGTCACAGTTTATTAGTATTCTTTTTGCCGAACAGGAGGCGGAATGCATTCTCAAACCTAGAGGTGAAGCGACAAGACATGTTTGCTCCAAGGGCGTCCTAGTCCTGCTCTGCGAACGCATCCATCCTCGGTGGAAGCTGCACGCCAATGGATTCTCATGCCCTGGCATCATGATGACAAAAAGGTAACCACAGAAAAATGGCACGTCAGTCCAAGTCAGGTGGCGGCTACACCTAGGTTAGCCTAGGTCAATGCAGTCAGCTTGCTCATCGGCCACGGTCTTTGCGGGCTCGTTGCCAGCTAGCTGGGTCCAAATGCGCTGCATGGCCGTCGACAGCTCTGCCCAGCTCAAGCCCTCAGTGCTCGGCGCATGCGCTTGTCTAGTCACTAGCTGCTTCGTTTAAAGCTCAACTTTGCCAAGCTTCTCCATCACCGTCTGCATCCATAGCATCAAAGATCTCTAACCTTGGGGCTTAAACTCGTGTCCACGATAATGGAAAGGTCTGGTAAGTCTGGGGCCAATCCGGCACGAACAATTTCAACGACTGAAGTTTCTCCGTCACTTCCTGCAAAGCAACCATGTGGGAAGTGTATCGCGGGAGCTCAAGCTTGTACGTTTTACCTAGCTAGTGCATATAGGCCGCACACACACACGAATAGCCACCACAACTTGCTGAGTTCTGTGAAGGAACTCATGAATCGAAAGTAGTGCTGCATACCGAGTATCCCCGTCGATAACGCCTGTAATGACCCTCATACTATACTCCCCTACATCGCCCATTGTAGGGACTTTACTCTGTAGCTCACATGCAGCCATGTAATTGCTCTGATGCCAAATGCCTCAAGCCCCGTGGCGCCTTGCGGCAAAGGTAGGTCCCGACTTCGGCCTTGCTGAGGGACCCGCTGCCATCCACGTCTGCGACTTGGAAGATCCTCAGCCGGAAATGTTGATGTGAGCCTTCATCTTGTAGGGGACTACTACACGGGTTATTACGGGGGATACCCGGCGTGAAGACTATGACTAATATCATGTTTTTCATATGACACAAGCCATTGGCACAAAAGCACAAACGATTCTCTTTTCCATCCATAAAAAGGTCTAGGTCACGCATGACATGCCGCAGGCTGTGAAGGGTCCAGAGTTGGGTCACATGACTGCCCGGTACGTGACACAAGGACGTGCCACGCAAAGAGGCATCGTGACAGCGGCAAGGTGCCACGATGAACTAGCGGCAATAACACCCGCACAGGCGTAACAGAAGAGAAGCAACGATGAACTACTTCATCCGCCAGCCATCTGGGTGTGGTGGGTGGGCAGAGAAAACAGTGTGCCCACAACTTATCTCCTTGAGAGAAAATGGCGATGTCATAAGAATTTGCAGGCCAATCCCAACCAGGCCAGTGCACTGAACATCTGACACAAACCATGGGCACAAAAGCACAAACAAGATTCTCTTTTCCATCCATAAAAAGGTCTAGGTCTCGCATGACATGCTGCAGGCTATGAAAGGTCTAGCCTTGGGTCACATGACTGCCCTGTGCGTGACACAAGGACGTGCCACGCAAAGAGGCATCGCGACAGCGGCATGCAATGTGCCACGATGAGCTGGCAGCAATAACACCCCCAAGTAAGAAGACGCCCCAAGCTAAATAAGCTGAACTGCCGGAGCAAGCGAGTCAAAACCCGTGTGACAAATGCTGGGCAAGAGCGCAAGGGGCCAGGCTCCACCCTTGGGCAATGCTCCACGGATCTGCAAGACCCAGCCGGGAGAGGCCGTCAGAGGCATTGACCTCAAACTCTATCCATTCCCAATACACCCAAGCGCTCAAACTAACGGGCAGAGGCTGCGTTAAAGCTGCTACGACGCGCAGATCAGGAATGGAACTAGAGCCCTTTATGAGCAACTGACAGGCACGTTGAGAATCAATATACCGTTGGGAATCAATATACCAGACTACATCCCTGCCGGCCAAGACAGAGGCGCAATTGGTCCCAGCAAGGCTTCACACGGAACGATTTCCGACCTGGCACCTGTCCAGGACGTCTTCGGTGATGTCCGCGCTGAAGCCCATGGGCTGAGCATGATCAGCACAAAACCCAATCGGGCAGGAATATGGGACTCGGGTTCATAAGAGGCATCACTACACACCTTAACTAAACCATCTCTATAGTGTGCTTTGGAGGAACCAGGCGAGGCCGCACAAAGGTTCTGTGAAAGACCAGGCTGTCGCGCAAGGGTGAATACAGCTCATGAAAGGCATCATCCAAGCACTGTCTGGCCTGAAGCGTCGAAAGGCCATAGCGACCGCACCGTCCGAAAGTGGTCGTGGTGGCCCAACCGAAGGCTCTCAACTTGGCCGCCATGCCAGAGGAAAGGCGATTCTCCGCCAATATGAGGTCAATCTGATCAGGTAGCCTCTTGCGGTAGCCTGGTTGAAGAAGTCCACATTTATAACCCCAGACGGTCCGACACTGGAAAGGCCTCAAATGTAGTAGAATTACCTGATTTGGCCAAGAAGTCATGCTCAATTGACTCAAAGAATTGTGACATTTCCCCATTTTTTTTCTTAGGGACTGCTACTGAGGACTGAGGGGAAAGATAGTTAGCGCGTAAGTGAAAGGATAAAGGAAGATGTCTAGAGTTAATGAGTTGCTGAAAAATAGAACCCGTAAAAGAAAAGGAGTCTATTAATGATGGGGGAAGGAGGATATAATCAAATGTAGTCCACTCATGTACATCTTCTGTGTGACAAAGGTGGTCGCTACAGGTCATTTCTTTATAGGCAATCCTATTCCTAAAAGGGAGTTTGGCGAAGGTCTGCGGGAGAATAAGGTTATTAGCAGAAAGGAAATCCATAAGAAAGACTGCGTTGTCTCTGTCGTCATCTTGCAGAGAAGATCGCCTGCAACAACTGCGGGACCAACATGTTCATGGGTGGGATCTAAATTGGCATCTAACCGGGCATTAAGATCTCCCACCGAACAGAGGTGTGAGAGGTTTGAATGAGACAGCATAATCTCATCAAGCTGGGTCCAAAAGTCAGACTTACGATCGCGATCCTGTTCTGGATCTTCCACCTGGCTAGGGGCATAAACATTAATAATAGTTATCTTATGTGGGAGAGTGTTTATTGTTATTTCCGCTATCCTAGGGGAGTGTGGGATAAAATCTGAAACATGCGACCGATGGGATGGAGAAACAAAGAAGCCTACACCATGATGTTTATCGGTGGGGAGCCCAGACATAAGGATTTCCCATCCTGATTTACAAAAGGTATGGGACGATTCCGCTTTGGTCTCCTGAGCACAAAGTAATGAGATATTGCGCTTGCCACAAAATGAAAGGATTTGATCATACTTAGAGGTCTCTCTAAGACCTTCTACATTCCAAGAGAGAACATGTAAGTCTGTATGGGTAGGGAGCGGGATAGTGGATTTAGATGAAACACATCTATGTTTATGAAACTGGACTGTATGATTGGATGGCTGGGCCGATTTTGAAGACTTGAAAAATCGCTCGACATAAGTCGGCTTCGGGTGGATCGGGGGTAAGGGATTTGGCGGCACCCTCAGGGTGGAATCCGTTATGGAACTTTTCCACATACGATAATCTCTTCTACCTTCCTGGCGAGAAGATTTCCATTTTAGGAGCCTTCGACTGTAAGACTCAAAGGAGCACGTACCTCTCCGTGTTCCCCCGTGAGCTTCGCGGTGTTGGTAGCCGCATGGCATGTCCTCATAACGTAAGTGGTTCATATATTTCATAACGTAAACGGTTGGGCGTTGAGCCACTTCTCGCCACATTCTCTTGCGGCTGCGGACCAATTGCCAGCGGTCTCCCGGCCCGCCTCCTCTGGAGGCCACCGCTCTGCAGACAATCCCATAAAGGGTAGGAGATTCTCTCCTATTGGTTTCCAGCTCAAAACTGGCGCCTCTCCTGTTTGCAAATAACCATAGTGAGTCTTCGCCGTAAAATGAATATCTAAAAACACACATTCCATTGGGTATATAGAGAGATTGCCTCAATAGATAATTTCTGGGGGTTGGAGTGTTCCTAGAGAACCAAGTAATATTGCCATTGAAAGCGCGCATAGCTTTATTTCTCGTAACCCTAGAGGTGAAAACCTTCACTATTTTAATCGGCACTATGGGAGTGAGACGGCTACGCTCAAAAGAGGATGTCTTTGCGAAGCCCAATCAGGGCCTTCGAGAGCTGCTGGCACATGGGCGTCGGCACTCAGGTTCCAGGTCAAATCCTTTGAGGTCAGTGGCACTATGGGCGGGGCCCAGGCCCTCGTCCCTACAGGCTTTGTAGAAAGAGTTGGCCAGGTCACGCGGGCACCCTAAACGCAGATTGGCCAGGGCCGGCAGGGGTTTGGCCATGAACTTGCTGCCCTGAAAAAAAATGCACAGCACTAAGGCCCGATGGAATGTGGAAACTATTGCTGGCGGCTACGTGTCTAGCTTCCTCCAAGGCCCCGAAGCAGATCATGGGAACGGCGCCATCAAGAGAGCATGCTCTCGGTAACAATATATAGGCCCGAGCATCTTCTTCGAAGCGGGCCATTGTGTCAACATGAGCAGCCTTCGTCAGCTCGACGGATCCTCAGCTGGCTAAAAATTCCAGGATGAAATAGTTTTGACTCTGACTGTCACCACACGCGGCCTGGAGTTGGCCACGGGGACTGAAAAGGAGCTACGCAGCGCAGAAGGTCCATGCATTTGCCCTCGTGTTTGAACGGCGTGCCCCTCCTCACAAAAATTGCTTGAGTAGATCACGCTAAGGGAATGAGGCCTTACAACCCTAACCTCATCAACGCCCACGGGAAACGGCGGAGAGGCAACCCCACCCTGCGGCACGAAGGCGGCTCTGCTGGCACACTCTTGCAGCTGTTGCGCGAGTTGTGGGGAGAAGCCGCCTGCCTGGGAGAAACTGGTCTGTGCGAGGCAGCGCAGGCTCCGTCTCGCCCACGCTAAGCATCCACCCTTTCCAACGCGGGCACTGTGTTCGTGACAGGCTGCGCCGTCACTCGTATACGTGCATCGCATCGATGGGCGGCCCCATCGGGGCAGTCTTTTTCTTGGAGTACACCTTCTGCTGTCCTTAGAGCTTTTTGCCACTACCCAACATGTTGATGGTCTTCTCCTCGCGGCTGCGCCGATCCAGCGAGCGCCTGCAAAGAAGCATCAGGAACGCTGGCCGAACCTGGCATGGGATTAGACGAACGCCAGAGCAGCTCTGACTCTTGCAAGGCTTTCGTGGCTGCCTTATGTTGTGGGTATTGCTGACGCAAAGACTCAATCATCTTGCCCCTTGCGCGAAGATCGATCAGGCTTTCGAGCCATGACAACTGGGCCGAAGGGGAAGCTGACACCCATGCTACTAGGCGAAGTGGTTGGTCACAATAGTTTGAGTTGCCCTCGAGAGGCGCGAAGGTGACCTAGACGGACAGGTTCAAGACAGAAGCAACTTTGTGGGATCCAGCAAGCGCAAACGCATTGGCCAGGTAGAAGCTGATGATATCCTTCACCGGACCCGGTTGCAACGGGGTGTGGAGCTTCAAACCTGAATGCCACCTCAATCTTTTGAACCGGCTGGGGCGCCTTAAACAGGCTAGGCAATCAAGGTTGGAGCTCCTGGCTGAAACTCACGGTAAACCTTGCCAAGCAAGACATCAGAGGGCATCAGGCGGATGACGGGCGGGTGGCCACACAGGCTGCCAGTTCATCTGCAGCGATTCCGAAGTAATCTCAATCAAGGGCTCGTCAGGATCCTCGTAGTGACTTGCACCTTTTCTTTTGGCCTAGGGGTTTCGGGACTTCCTGGGCCGACCACGATAAAACATGACGAACAAGGACATATGGATCTTGACTGCCACGCTCCATCCTGGAAGGAGAGTTTGTGAACAGCTGGCTTGCATTGGGCCAATCTCCAGCTCCAGAGGTTTTCACAAAGGCCTCTAGCCTTCTGTACAAAAATATTTCTGCCAAAAACATAGGCAATCTGTTTTGCCACAGAAATAGAGGGTATATTCACCGAGGCAACACCGAAAACAAATTTTGGACGCTGGGGAACCCTATTTCCTTGAGCCAGTGGCTTGATCCAAAAAAAGTCTGAGCCAGATGACGTTGAGCCAGATGTCTGAACTGGTTTAGGGTTTAGGGCCTAGTTTAGGGTTTGGAGTTTAATGACCTTTTGCATGTGTTGCTTGAATGCTTCCATCTGGAATTAGAGCGTCTTTGCACGCCCATCATTTTATTTCGAGAGAAAGATTTGGAAATCGATGTGGATGTTTAAGCAAGCTGTTTGCGCTTGGCGGCGCAATTATTTTTGATGCACAAGCTGAGTAGGCCATACTGGGATGCTGTACGACGCAAATTAATTTGTAGGCTGTTGACGCCTCATGTACTTGCAATGTGAGCCGTGAAGCTTATGACTTTGATTTACACCACTACCTCAGCAGATGTACCCAAACAGGTTGAAACAGGTCACTGAACTCTAGGTTTACGCAAAAAGCAAGAACGCTGTATATGATTTTTTCTTGAATGACCAGCTTGCGGATGCCAGGACAAAACACTGTCAGCAAGCTAGAGTGGTAGAGATTACGGAGTATTCTAACCCCATACGCGGAAACACAAGACCTCTGCAACCGAAACCCCAGCAAACTCAGATCACCGAAGCACCTGGGTCCTCCCAACAAAATGTATGGGCAGGTACCACAGGATGCGACGATGACTGGGCTGCTGAAATCACAGTTGAAGCCACCCCTGGAAATGACATTGCATTCCTTGAGAATGCAAATAGATCCTTCCCCACTGTCCCTGCTGTTCACTCAGCAGGGTTCTCCTTCTCCTTGGTCTCAGAGCCTGCAGCAACTGCGTCACCGCGCCGAACGCGCTTTTGCGGCGTTGTAGGATTGGCATCCGGATCAGCATTGGGATTTTTGGCCTGCTCAGCCTGAGAAGGATCTGCAGACATGAGATCCACAATCTGCTTCATTCTATCTACAGGCTTTCCCTGTGACTTGACCACTTCCAAGGCCAGCTTGTACTCTTGACAGTTGGACCTCATAAAGAAGGATTTGCGAACCCCATAAATGTGCACGCTTGGAAGGGCCACTTCCATAACCATCCAACCCAATGGTTGATACAGCAACTCATTCTTTGACAGCGCGCAAACACGGACCTGCAGACCTTTTTTGATCAAGGCGTTCAAGCCACCACGATCAAGTTGCAACGTGTGAGCCTGCGCCGCACTGAGATCACATGCATCTTTGATCACCTTCTCCTCGCAAAGAAGCTTCAGCAAGGACTTGATCTCAATGAACATGTGCCGAACATCCCCGCTTACCTGAACTTTCAGCATACTGGCGAAATTGGGCAAATGGCCCAGGATCTTCATATCCGACTGGCAGCCATACATCCATGTCGCGGACATAAAGCCAGCGCCACCGCCGACGGATGACACATCCACAATGTCATTTTTGCCCAGCAGCGATGAGAGCAAACCACTGATTGCCTCCTTGCCATTGTCAGCTGACATGGCATAAGTGGCACAGGGCACCTTGACCTGGGCAAGGGTTCGCTTGTACTGCGCCCCCCATGATGCCAAAGCTTTCTGAAGCTTGCTCTCACCCAAAGCCTCCAAAAGCTCCTCATGCTTGGAGACTTTCCAAGGCTCAGTCCGGATATCAGCGGACAGCTTTGGCAAGTCCTCTTGGGTGAGTGATCTGACCTCGGTCAAACCTTGGGTGTCAACTTGATAAAGCTTCGGGATAGGAGCTGACTCCGTCTTGCGCCGCTTGATTTCTGCAGCCTTGTCAGCAGCCTCCTGCCTCAGCTTTTTCAACTCATCCTTCTCTTTTTCAGACTCTGCCTTTCGTTTGGAGCGCTTGTCGTCATTCAGAACGGCTTTCAGGCGCTTGGTCAAATCATCAAAGCTGGTTTTCAAACCCTTGCAACAAGTCACAATGGCCTTCTCTGCACTTTGCCAAGAGCTCTTGATTTGTAGAAATTGGTCTGCGCATTTGACATCCAACACTTTATTCATGAGGTCTCGCAACTCATCAATGCTGAGCAACTCAATCAACTCGCCATCCCAGAATTTGCGCTCAGAGGTTTCTTCCTCCAGCAGAAAATCCTTGAAGGCAACCTTGCGTCGCGCATCATCTGCCTTGGCAATGCTTTCGGCTGTCATACCAGTGATCGCAGATTGCGGTGAGGGAGGGCTCTGGCCATCTGCTGGCAAGCGTGCACTGTCAGGAACAAGATGCGCAATCTCAGACTCAAACCCTCCAAGTCGGGCAACAAGCTCATGCCGAAACTGGTAGGTGCGGGTGAAGGACAAGCCAGCTCGGTCCGTTGCCCTTAAGGCAGCTGGCTGGTCTGCCCACTTGGCTTTCGCCGTCTCCATAAGAGCAAGCTGCTTTCGGATCTCACCTTGCAGCTTCTTGATGCCCATCTCCATGCTTCGCTGAAGAGCAGGAGGCTCACGCGCGAGGTTGACATTCCTAGTTTTGGGAGGCGTTTCGTACTGAGGCTGATTTGAGGAGCCGGCCGCCGAAGTTGCCGAAGGGTCTTTCACTGACCCAAGCTTTGTTTTGAGATCTTGCTTGGCCTCATCTGTCACGCTGAAAATCTCATCCCCGAATGACACATCCTGCCGCCCCAAATGCTTGAAGAGCATATCCCTCTGGTCCATGGCGGGGGCCCGTAGCTGGTCTGAACCCTCTGTCACCTCGGACTGGTTGTAATGCTCACGGGCACGGAGTCTCATTCTGTGAGAGGGAATCCATAGTTGTTCCGCACCGCGGAATCCTTCGTTGTCGCGAGCGATGTCCGGGTTGTTGTAGAATTCCAACCAATACCTGGGCAGCATCATGAAAATAAGTGTTCAATTCAAACCCTAGAACAGCACTACATGAAACTAGTAGAAATACTAGGAAGGCACAAGAATGGACGAAGCCGCTTCTGGATGGACATGACTGACTCACTGACATGCATCAATCGCACACACACACAAGAGTCACAAGAGCAACCTGAAAAATTGCAGGAGGCGAATGTAAAACTTCTTAAAGGGGGTTAAATATTGAGGGGAGTATTGTAGGGATTCGCAGGGGGGATACCAACAATTTAGAGTTTAGACTATGTCCATGCACTGCCGAGAAGCTCTTTGGATTCTTCGGGCGAAAGTCCAAGGACGTTCTCGGTGTAGCGGTAGAAGGCTCTCTCTGTCATTGGGGCGCTCCCGCTCTGCTGAGTGGCACTGACACGCATGCCTTTTGAGCGGCTGAACTGACTGAAGTCTACAAGGCTCTTCCTACGAAGCTCAGGAGGGTTGTCTTGACAGAACTCTTTGATGGTCTTACCGGCAAACTCGTCTGACCGCATTGCACTGTCGAAATTGTCAGGATCTTCTTGCGACAAGTCCCGCCTGTTCTTTCTTTGGTAAAGGAGATTATCGTATCCTTTCTTGTGATCTCCCTCAGCGCAATATCGGTTTCCGGGATATTTTTTGAATACTGAACACGCTTGACAACAATTCCCGGCTTTGTTGATGATCAAGAGTCTTGGCCGTGTGGAGGCAGTGCGTCCTGTGATCCTGCAGGCAGACATGAATGCGATGGCAGGGCTTGCAAACTAAAACAGCAGCTAGAACAAGAATTTGCAATGACTCGCCACAACGAACAAAAATGTGTGACTGCGCAGAACTTTGAAAAATTCCGGTCCTGGCAAACGGCCCATGAGCCATTTTCATCAAGCCACTGACTCATCTCCTCATAGCATTGCATCCGCTCTAAACTGCTGGCTCCAGGAGCTGGAGCACATGACTCCAAGAATTCCTGGGCCGACAAGCGCAATTGCTGGCGTATATCTGGGAAGACGCAGGCTTCGCCAGAATGTTGAGTCCGTGACAGGTGCAACAAGACATGCTGGGAAGTCTTATCCACGTCACACATTCTTCTCACTCTGGACGGGATCTCCGGCCCTGCGTGAGCAAGGATTGCCTGCAAGAGGAGGCGAGTGGCTTCGCTTGCGGCGCACACACCAGAATAATCCGATGTTTCAATGATCCCGCCTTCCAAGAGGCGCATGACAGTACTTTTGAACTGGTCATTGGCAAACACATTTGCAAGCATGTCTTCTGGAAAGCTGAGAAGCTCGTGTAAAGATGCTGGCCCTGGGGGTAGGTGCTACGACGCCCAGACATCTTCCAAAGAGCCTTGCCTCACCTTCCGTCTCTTTGCTCTGTCATAGGTGTCATCTGCTGAGCTACCTAAGCTGTCGCCCCCCGGGCAGCAAAGACTCACCGCATTGCCTTGCATGTTGGGCGGCAAAACGCAAACCCTACTTAACTTAACGCTGAAGTCCTACAATATCCTGGATGATACAGTTGGGTCAAGTTGTGCTGCTAAGTTGACATGCTTTACAGAAAGCATGGGACCAACTACACGTTTCAAAATCAGCTTAGACTGTCCGCATCTGCTCCCGGATGAATGAATGGGACTTTGCTTGGAGCCAACATGTGCCCTGAACCCAAGCGCCTGAAGCCATCTCAGCATGAATGTCACACAATGCTCAGCCAACTGCCTCTTGGAAAAGGAGAACTCGCAAGGTGCAGCCCCTTTGCAGCCGCCATGGGCCATACTGTCAACAGCTTTGGGATAACGCATGTTTGAAACTCAGTTTTGCACAGCGCACACTGCGCACACGAACTGCAAAGAAACCCTGCGTAGAATGCGCAAGACGTGGGAAAGAAGTGCTTGAAAGCAAAACCACGAGACATGAGCTATGGCAAGCACCTACAAATCCTTTTCGCGCGCAAACATCTCCAAACTTGCACAATACATGAACAATCGCGACGTCAAAGCGATTTTGGGCGCAAAACCTATTCTTTGGATCTTTTCTGCTCCAGGCAGCTCCCCAGGGCCGCCCCGGAGGAGCGCACGAAAAGTGCACGAAATTCGCCTTTGACCCTCGAGAACTTATGGCCCTCTAGAGCACCAGAACCCAGCCGAACCCAGCAAAACCAGATCTCAGCCCCTTGGCAAACAAGCCAGGTTGAGGTCTATTAGCTTCAAAACTAAGGCCTGGAATGGGTTCTGGGCCCCAAAACAGCTTAATTTGCTCGAGGGTAAAATGGGCGCACGAAAAGTGCACGAAATGCACGAAAAGCACCCCAGCCTTGAAAGGCTTTTCTATGTCTTTTCAATTACCTACACAGAAATAATGGAATTTAGAGGACATCAACGATTACGTTGAGAATTCATCGCAAATTCCTGAAAATATTTTCTTTAAAAAAAACACACACACACACACACAACATGAAAGAAATCAGCGCGATTCGGGCCTTTGGGACACATTTCGCTCTCGCGAGTTTGCCAGGGCCTGAATCCCCTAAGTACAGCCAGGCAGCCTGACAGCCATAAAGGTTTCACAAGCAGAGCACAGGAAGCTTTGCCGCACCCTCATTGCCCAGCCATCGCTACAACTTTACCCAGTAAGTGGAGCCAATCCCTGCAGTGCTGCCCTTTGCTGCCCCTTTCTTGCTTTGGCCCTCAGCTGCCGCTTGGAATTCCGAAGTGCTCTACATCACGCTCGAACCTCAGTGAAACCTCTAAGCCTCTGCTTCCGCTGCTTTGCACACTTTCTACAAAGAGAGAGAGAGAGAGAGAGAGTGGCACACACGAAGAGGCACAGTGCACATGAACAGGTAGGGATAGACCCTGTCAGTGCCCAGCACAATGCATGGCGCACATGATCAGGCATCCATGCCTCCTGCCAACGCCTGGCCAATTGTATGCATCGCACTCTGAAAAAGCTTGTTGGCAGCCTACCACAGCCTACCCTTCTGCAAGCAAGGCCTCCACCTCCTCCATTGAAGGCAACGCATCAATGTTATGAGCTGGCAACACTCTATCGTTGAAGATCTTTGAATGATCACTTGCAGTTGCAACATCCTTGCCAAGGACTGCCCACCACTTCAGCATCAGCTGAACCCTCTCACTTCCGCCAAACCTGCAAGACCTTGTCTTTGTGCAAGCTTTGCCTGCACTGTGGCCTGGGATCCCGCAAGTTATCTGCCAATGTTGCGGGTTGTCAACAGGCCCTTTGGGCGTCAGCGTGTGTGGACCCCACTTGACCGCTACACCCTTGCGCACTGCTCTCCTCTTTGCTTCAGGAGCAGCAGCAGGCGCTGGCCGGTCTGGATTGGAGGCGGAGGAAGAAGAACTCGAGGAACTTGAGCTGCTGGAACTTGATTGGCCACGTTCAGGGCCTCTTTCTCTGCAAGGGGAGAGCCCGTCTGAGTCGGAGCTGGCATCCGCCTCGCCAGCCTCCTCTACCCCATCCTCATGATGATCATCTTCAATGACCGGGACTGCAATTTCAGCAGGCGCAGCTTCCGCAAGAGCAGAACTAGGCCCGCGTGGCTCAGGCTGAGCCCTACGTGGGCGGGAAGCACGATTCGCTGGCCCATCAAGAGCTGGAACTGGCCAGTCAGCATCGCTTGTGTGCTGGAATGCTTTTCTCTTCCTGCCTCGGTTGAGCTGCCCGCTATCCTCCAAGGAAATGCCAAGCATATTCATGTATGTTTCCTGCTTTGCAACGTGGGGAACAGGCATCTCAGGACCCTTCAGCAACAACGCCAACAAGTAGTATCTAGAGACGGACGAATGCGTTTCACATGTGTGCCAAACCTTGCGCTGCCCATGTGTGTAAGCTGCCTGGGCCCGCTTCATGTCTTTGTACTCTCTGATGCTAGCAATCTCGTGCACCCAACCCTGAGCATCCATCTCGAGTATGAGCTGGAATGTGGATGCTTCACGGAGTTCCCCAGCATGCCTTTGCAGAAGACATTCCTCATTGCGCAGGACCACACACTGTTCCACGCGTTCCTTTGCCACATTTGTCAGCTGCCACGGCGGTCCTTCAACCATCCTCTCTGCTACTAAGGTATCGAGAGCCTCTAACATGTCACGACTCATGTCTGTGGTGAGCACCAGGCCTTCCGGTTGCTGAATCATGGCATGCACAAGCTTGGAAACGCAGACATGTAGCGAAGCTGGGATCTGTGACATGAGCTGAACATCAAAACTGTGTTGAAGACCCTCCTGCGCCTTCCACACACGCACATTCCGCAAGTCCTGCAGGGTCATCTTGCTCACATGCATAGCTAAGCCAGCATCTTGAAGATCCGTGACAGATGCTGGCAATGCTGCCTTCAAGGAAACTAAGGCCTCTTGGGTGCTAGGATTCATGCGCATGAGTCTACGCAACTAGAGAATCCAAACACCAGCCAAGGATGCTTCTGCCCCAACCCTTGTTCGATGGAAGCGTGCGGGCTGGGAATGCACAACCGACCAAAAAATCGCTTCCTTGGTCAACACTTCACCCGCGCCTTCCAAATGGCGCCGAACAGACACAGCTTCATCCACTGCGAGAGTTGGCCATGACAATGCCAACTGTTCTGCAGGTTCCCATGCCAAATGCCCAGAAACAACTTCAGGAGCGGACGATGTTGGGGCAATCAATGAGCGGAGCTTGTAGAAAGCACTGGGGCTCAGGGGCATTGAGTAATAGGTTTTGGCTTTAACAAGACCTTTCAGCGCCTCTAGGGCATGAGTTCGCCTCACCTCAACGGCATGATCAGCAATCGGAGCTTCAACAGAAGCAGCACCAGTGTCCTCTGTGGGCAGAGACAGCTCAACACAGCCCTGTAGTTTCACTTTGGCAGGCAAGGACAAGGTGTATTTTGTGTAAGGGTCATCATGGTATATGAGCGCAATGGTTTTGCTCGATTGCCTACCCGTGAGCCAGCCTGCCGAGACTGCATGGGGCAGTGAGATACCCAAAAGACGTGCAATGACTGTCCTACGAGTAAGCTTCGCAAAAGCCTCTGCAAGACGCACAAGACCACGTGGCTCACACCGCAGGAAGTTCCTCAACTCTGGGAGGCGATGGCACAAACTGACATACGCTGCCGTATGGTTGCCTGCCTGAGTCACGCCTCGCTTTGTTCGGGCATGCTGGCCCTCAACTCTCCACGCACTACACCACATCAGTCGCAGCTCTGCTGCCAGCGAGGCCAGAAAAGGAAAGCTGCCATCCCACTGCCCGCCACCCTCAAGAAACACCAGGCATTCTGCTTCGTGGGCCTTAAGCTCTTGGATGCGAGGGTGGGAGCTAGAGGATTGCAAGCACTTTCGCAAATATTTGCACCTGACGTTAGCATCCTGGTGGCCTAATCCGGCAAGCGCATGGGGGGCCTCTCCCCAAAAGGACAACTTCATAATGTAAGTTGAGAGTATGGACTGCCTGGCAGCTTCAAAGTCAGACATGAGTTCATGCACCTGTTGCTGGGACATGTTGCGTGGCAAGTCTGCCTCTAGCCTTACAGCGCTGCAGTCAAAAAGCCTCTGCGCTACAGTGAAGAACTCACCTGCCACAAGTTGCGGACAACGTCGCCCACGAAGTGGGCAAGATTCCCACAACTGACGCAGATCTGAACCGACATCCTCACGTAGGAGTTCTGAGTGGCAATCACAACCATTTGCATACTCAGTAGCAGCACTCTGCACAACGGCAATCTGCAAGAATATGTGCAAGCAAGACCACCAGTGATCACTAAGCAAAGCCTCGTTTGCACCTTCAAGGTGAACACCATGCTCATCACCACCAAGGTCCTCCTTGGCCTGTGGCATGTTGCGACCCCGCAGATACACCTGGACGTCCCAACATGATCTCAAGGCTGGCTCAAGCTCACTCAAAGATCTCACAGCGAAGGCAATGGTGTTCCAGCGCTTCTCGTGAACGCTACATTTGAACGAGGCAACTTCTTGCCTGAACCCAACTGCAAAGCCTGAACTAAAGCAAGTCACCAGCAGCTGTTGTTTGGACTCTTTGCCAGACAAAAGCTTTGCAACTCGCTTCAGACCTACCATGAAAGGCTTGTAGATGGACATCACATCCTGTGTCCGGCCGCGACATTGTGGATCACATGGTTAAGATCTGGGCCACGCAAACTACCCGTGAGATCGCACACGTTGATATCATGCCCTTGGTCCTGATTTGGTGGTTCGAGCGGGCAAAGCAAAAGTTCAGCCTCATCATATTCAGGATTGGGCCGGCGTGCCTCCAAAGGCTCAACTGCTTCCCTGCAAAAGAGTTCAGGGTCATCCATAGGTGGAGGCATCGACGAATCTGCGCAATCACTCAGACGCATGTATGGCAGAACGTCCTCCAACTCGCATGGAAGAACCCTTGCAAGACCTGCCTCTGCTCCATAATCTGTGTGGATAGAGGTAATACTGCGCAAGAGCTTGGAAAGCATCGCACGGCTGCTGGACATCAACCCAA